TCTGATACAAGCTCTTTCCTATGTTTCAGTAACTGGCACTGCCACAGCTGCCCCTTACGTCCAGTCCTAGGTTGAGTGATCAGACAAACCATGCGACTGATCTGATTCGCCATGACATCGCTATCTTCTTCTTCTGGCGCAAGCCACTTTGTTAAGACATGATTAAGTACTGTTGCATACTTAAAAAAAAAGCCCTGCTTTTAAGTACTTTATCCTAATTCAGCTTGAACTCCACATTTCTCAGAGATTAGTCACCCTAACCTATGCCATCCCAGTTGCTTTAACCTACTCTGTTTCAATGTTGTTTGAACTCCTCCTATCAAAAAGACTTTTTTTTTTTTTTTTTAAACATTCAGAAACCATAAGTTATTAACCCTTTGGTTCAGTACTAAGGATATATCAACCCTTCGGCTTTGATTCCATGATACCATAACTCTGGGATAAATATGGCTTTTCTGCCTACCTCTGGTGTGAACCCGGACCACAAGGAGTTAATCACCCGGTTGCCACGCACACAGGTTTAACCAAATGAGCTAGCACGCCGGGCAAGAGACTAAGTTTCTCTAATCTAAGCTATCCCAATTTTTTTTAAACATATTCTATTCCAATGTAGTTTGAACTACTCCTATTAAATGTTGAATTAGGAATCAAAATCACAGCACTCAGGACACTCCCATAAGCACTCCACCCCATCTTTAGCATCCTGTGAAGAGTTCCAATTCCGATGACACCAGTAATTGTCTGACTGTATATATGTCTTGCTTTTTCCTTGAGTGTTGAGCGTTCCCCAGATCTCATGGTGACTCCTCGCAGCACCATTCTCCTAAGACCATTTAATTATAAAGTTGTGCCTCTGCATAAAGGGCCCTCACAACATCTAGTTTCTCATACATCAATTCACCACTAAGAGGTGCAGAACTGGCCAGTCTATCTGGCTGCTTGTTTTCCAACACACCTGCATAACCTGGAGAAAATATCCAAAGGATACTAACTATCCGGGACCTTTGAAGTGATGTTTGCCACTCTGCACAGAGCATGTCTGTCTCCACCTTTTTCAGCAAGCTGTGTGAGTCAGTTACAGTTACGACATGTGTGTACAGCTGATTCTCAAGCCAGTAGAAGTAGAAGGCAGCAGAGACTGCCTCCACCTCCATTCTCAAACTAGACGTTGATATCATATGAAAGACTTTGCTGCACTAAGCGATGTCCATTCACTTTTATTACGAACTACCATGTATTTCGTCTGCCCTTCACCACAGAGCCATCTGTATAGATAATCATATCACCTGGAGGGGAATTGTCATAAATCACTTGTTGAGCTTCTGATTCTGCAGCACCAGCTGGCCAGTCCCTGCACTCATGACCTAAAGGGATTAGAACCCTACACAAATCTGATTTTTGCTGAGACCCACTCCTCTCCTCATTCAAATATATCAAGCCTCCTCCTATCAAAGAGACTAGTTACTCTAATCTAAGCTATCCAGTTACTTTAAAGTTCTCTGTCCCAATGTAGCTTGAGCTCCTCCTAAGAAACAGTTACTCTCATCTATGTTATCTCAATTACTTTAAAGTAACAATCATCTGGGACAGAAGGAGTCAACCTTCACATGTTACACAATCACACAATACAAGAAGCCAAATACTAGTGATGACGGAGATCAAGGTTCTAGTGTAGGCAAAAGCAATGTGTTACATAAATAACTGGTACTTTCTCAAGTAATTTTTTTAACAAGCTGAGTTGAGTTGATTCAAGAACTGACAGAAAAGCACTCAGAACTTCCCATTTGTGCTCACCCCTCATCTTCAGTAGCCTCCAATGAGTTCTAAGTTCTGATGATAGCAGCAGTGGCAGTGTCCATCTTGTATTTCCGCTGAGTGCAGTTTCTGCCAGATGCCCTGGTCACTCTTGTTGTTTCTTCATCACAAGTGATGAAAACCACTTTTAATCCAGTAGTAATGATCTATGATTATGAGTACAAGATGTGGCGGAGAGTTCTTGTGGCAGTGCTAGGCCACAGTAGGTAGCGATATAGTTTCTTTGCCTCCATTTCTCCTCCGCTAGGCAAGAACGATCCAGAATGGTCCTGTGCAGCAGCCTCCCAGTATTTGGGATTTTATCTTGCCATTTGATTTTGAGTAGCTTTCTGAGACAAGTTATATGAAACTGATTCAACTTTTTAGCATGGCGCTGATACACAATACACGTTTCGCAAGCGTAGAGCAGTACTGGAAGAAAAAAACTGCTGAAACTGCTGCTGGCGTTTGAGATCTAGCGTTGAACTCGTCATCAATGTTGACTCTCTGAGACAGAGTACTGCCGAGATAAGTGAATCTGTCGACTACATTTAGCTTTTGATCATTTACGGTGATAGTTAGATCACAGTAGTATTTTCTGGGAGCCGGTTGATAACAACAATATTATCAGTATTGATAGTTAGCCTGAAGTTGGTATAGGCTTCAGAAATCTACTGATGATGTGCAGCTGTCCACTCTTAACACTACTTATGACCACACAATACAGACCACCATAATTTCATGGTCTCATGGGGAATAATTTTCTTATAACAGTGGTCACAAGTTCATAATCTAAGCTGTATAAGTAGGCAGCATTTCATTGCAAAAATCTTGTGATAATTTCTTCAAACTGGAATAACTTCTTAACTTTTCTTATAAAAATTTCAACATTTAAGCAGTGGCAATATTTATTGTTGAACATCCTACCTTAAGTAGCTTGTTTAAATAAGACATGAGGAAAAAGTTAAGGTTAAAAAAATAAAAATTATAATTATATGTGTGGGTTTCACAGTGAATGGGAACATTCTCAAATAAGTGAATCAGGCATCTTGGAAAGTCATAAAGCCGAACAGAAGATGGGTTCTGTAAAGAATCACTATGGGAAAAGCAGCCATTTATAAGAGATGAGTTGAGATGCAATGGTACAGCTAAGAGTGAGCCGGGGATCTGGTTGACAATCTACTCAGAAGAAATGCAAGGTGAACATATGTATAATCAAATTGCTACTGGCAGCGTCTGAATTAGAACTCTTTACTGGCTGCTGAAGATGAGAATAGAATGCATATGGGAATGCCCTGAATGCTGTGATGTTAGTTCTTGAAAGGGAAAATTTGTAAGATGGAAACTTTATTAATAACAAGTTGTCAATCTAAGTAAGAAAAAAAAAAGAGTCTAAGTACTTTATAAAGCCCATATTCTTATATGCATGTGAAACAGACAATAAGCAGATAAGCTAAATACATATAATGGCAGTGGAAATAAGCTTTCAGAGGAAAGTGCAAACAATATCACAGATATATAGAAAACAAAAATAGGTGGTCCTTTCAGAAACAGATGAAGACTGTAAAGTGACCACAGAAATTGATGTAAACAGTCACGATTTTGTTTGAGCATGTTACGAATAGGAACTTTAAAACAAAAAATCTTGGATACTTTTTGACAAATGACAAATTCTGGGGGAAAAAGAGACAAGAGATATCTCAATACCATACAGTACAGTCAGAACAAGAATACATATTGATGTGAGACTCTCATAATTATGTAAGATGCAAACCATCAATGCTTACTGGTGAGGCATACGATGATAATGTTGATAAAAAAAAGAATAGGTAAAGGACCCTTTTCCACGCCTTTCAGGCGTATTGGGTATATAGGAATACAATTTATAGACCAACGGCACAAGATGGGTGATGTGGTCAGCATCACGCCGGCCACCTTTACTTCCCAAAGCTGCATCCGGTACCCACTCAAGGCTGGGTCGACCTGGGAGATAAGGTCATTTTTGAAAAAAGTTCGGCTCCACCAGGGAGTGAACACATGACCTTCCGATCCGCAGGTGAGCGTCTACTCGCTATGCATTGGCGACTCCCGATAATGATAAGCCAAAAGAAACTTATCATAAACCACAAAACATGAGAGTCATGTGTTTGGCCCTATTATTTAAAAAAAAAAACAGTTTTATTTCAAATCTTCAGTAAGGTGACAGGTGTCTGTTTTCTTCTTCTTCTTCACTTCCTCTTTTACCGCTGTGGGTGTCGAGAGAGATATAAGGTTCTGTTTCTAGCTCTTCTGGCTGCCTCGACCATAGGCACATCGCGCTGTTGTAGAGTTTCTCTGATGTTATACTTCCATCTTGTTCTTGGTCTACCCCGTGCTCTACGTCCTTCTTCTCTTTCCATGTATGCTTTGTATGGTATGGTGTCACAAGGCATTCTCTCTAAGTGGGCAAACCATTTTTTCTACTGGAGGTAAAAATAAGCATCCTAACCTGCAGCAAAATCTGGCTCAAGTATCCCTATCTTACACTGTCTTAAAGAGTGGCACTATAGGTAGTAAGACTCATTTTCCACACCTGCAGGTGTACTGGGCATACATCGCTAGACCTTTATTTTATAGACCAATCGGCGCTTGGTGAGTGATGTTGTCAACATCATGCTGGCCCACTTTACTTCCCAGGACTTTACCTCTACCTATTTAAGATTGGATCAAGCTGGTGGCCAAGGTTATTTCTGAAAAAAAAGTCCAGGTCTGTTCAGATTTGAACCCATGACTTTCAGACCTGCAGGCCAGCGTCTAGCTGCTACACCATGGCGACATCCGTATTGGCAGTAAAGACAGTTTTGTTTGTTTTTTATTTAAATAAAAGGGACAAAATCCTAAAACATTTGGAAATAACAAGTTAGAATGATAGAAAATGGTATAGTGAATGACAGGAATATTCTCAATACCTTTGCATGAATAAATAGCATGTATAATAATACTTTCTGTGACAGATGAAAAGTGTAAAGAAGCATTATCACCAACTGCAGTTGGCAAAGCAACTGATGATGAAAACAATACGCTGTAAAATGCCATTACAAAAAACTAATGTGAGTATACATAAGTGAATCAGCCTGCAAGCATACACATATTGTTCCAGCATTGAAGCAGCAGGATGTAAGCAGGTTATATGTAATGATACAAGAACATTACCTCAACCTAGAATCCTAAAAAAAATCTGCAAAATATGAACATCAATTTGTTTGAACAACTGATAATCCATTTTTTATAATACAGTAATAACAACAACAAAAAATTCCGTAAGGACATTACAGATGCGTAAAAGATGTGGAGACTGGCCTCTACTACAACATACAGCAGGGCACAAATGATACAGGTACTGAGGTTGACTCTGGGGAACAGGTTGCCAGAGGCCGTGTTAAAAACAATGGTCCTGAAATGTAGATCACTTTTCTTACCGGAAATGGATCTTGCTAGTCACATGTATGTTGGAACAAGGTGTATGGGGTTTGCTTCTGTTGGATTCATATCTAAAAAGTGACTCTTTAGTCATTGGTTGAAAATCTTTCGGACTGCAATCTCAGAGGACCCAACAACAGGAATTTTGAAAACTTTAGTGTTCATACCAAGACTGGAACCTATAACCTCCATAAGATTACAGTGTTATGTATTTAAACACACATCAATCTAGACATCAACATGTGAGGTGACCTTAAACCATTTCTCTAAGTGCCAGTTTAAGTCTATTTTTCAGACGGTCTCAAGTGTTCCCGAAAAACTGAAATGTATGTTGCCATCCTTCACAAAGTTACTGGAATGCAGCAGTTTTTTTCAGGGACTCAACTCTAAGACTAAATTGGTGATGCTTTAAAGAAACTAGTCTGTTTTCCCTTGTGCTTGAAAGTGTGGGTGATTCAATCAGAGAAATCCTAATGTAGGTTCCTGGGCCCCATTTTGAGGAAAGAAAGAATAGACATAGGGCCCTTAATCAGATTGTCGTAAAAGCCACTAATTAGGAGTATTTAAAACAGCTGGTGAACGCCAAGAAAAAGAAGAATAAGAGAAAATATAAACACTTTCAAAATGGTTTTTGTTTGTGTTTATGTTTTTATAAGCAAGCCTTAAGTTGGAATTTATGTGATTTTATGAAAAGTTACTATTTCAACTTATTTCATTGTTAATGCATAGATCAAAGTCGTACTAATGTACAAGTTGCAAGTAATGTTCCAAGAATTCACACTATTAGAATAAAAACTTGTTTATTGTTATGAATTGATTTAGGACCTATCTCTACTTTACTTCTTGATATGTCTGATGATGATAAAATGAGATGAGAAGAAGATTATAATGACTGATGATATTAACTGTGGCAATGGTGACAAGGCCTAATGATTACACATAAACTAATATTAAAAAAAAAACAAAAACTTTAAAAATCCATATATAGTGAAAACTTTTAAAGCACCAAAAAAAAAAACACACAACCTACCACGGGGTTCTCGGGGTGTCTGCATAGTTTGAGGAATTGCCGGCCCTGGTTTTGCATAATTCTTTGTACCCCTGACCTTGACCTCGGTGAGCAAATTCAGAAGGAATTTTTTATCTTTACCTTCCTGGAGACAACCAAGAGAGTCAAACTAAACAAATGGATTACTGAATGATTGAAATGTTAGCTGAACTAATAACTGGCTGACATGACATTCTCAACATTCTTGAGATGAGTTAGGAACTGATATCACAGCACTCAGAGCATTCCCGTAAGCTTTCCATCCCCATCTTCAGCAGATACAGAACAGTTCCAATTCCAATGGCACCAATATTCTTCTAAAAAATCACATCCCTAATGCCTCCTATTTCTTCAGCATTGCACTGCTCATCATCCAGAGCTTATGCGTATTCAGAAAAATAGGATATTACCTTTTAAATAAGATGAATTATCACTTAATTTCTAGCAGTCCAGACAGTTATGATTTAAAGTAATAAATTCTAGTAACAACTGCCTGAAGTCACTGGATTTAATAACTCACCCCCCTTTGAAATTTAAACCCCAGAAAGCCTTTGAAAACAGCCTAGGAACCCTAGGTTGTGGAAAAAAATCATGAGGGGGAAAACATTTAACACAGGTTACCAATAAGTTTTAAAAAATAAACTTGTTTTAACTACATTAGGTCCCCCCCCCCCCCCCCCCCCCAGATATATAAGGCAGTAATCAGTAAATACAAATGTAAGGAAGGACTCTTTTCCATGCCTTTAGGCATACTGGGTTATATTTTATAGACCAATGGTCATTCAGTAGGTGATGCAGTCAATATCACAACAGCTGCCTTTACTTCCCAAGTCTGTACCTGTTACCCATTTTACTCTCTCAGGCACATGAATTTTGACAGTCTTGGCTCAAATTAATTTCCCTTTAAAAAATTTTCAGAGAGAGTGGTGGTTAAAAAAAAAAAAAAGGCAAATAAGAATGTCATTTATTTCTAATCCTTATAAAAGTATGTATTTTGTAAAAGAGGAATAAATGTACATTTTGAATCTGATGAAATGTTTTTGTTTATACTGTTATAGTTAGTAGCAGCATCCGTGGCTAAGGCGTTGAGAGTCTGACTCGTAATCCAACGTACCGCGATCAAAACCCACTGCGGGCTGCGTGGATTTTCATCGTGGTATGGGACGTCGCAAGTCGACCCAGCCTTAAATGGGTACCAGGATGGCTGTCCTGGGGAAGTAAAGATGGCCGGCATAATATTGACCACATTACCCACCGAGTGCCTATTGGTCTGTAAAAATATGGGTGCTCTTCTCATATGCCCGATGCGCCTAAGGGCGTTTAGAGGGATCTTTACTTTATTTTTTTGTTTTTTTGTTATAGTTAGTAGGAGCTAATAATTCAGTAGGTGTTATGCTTACAAAGACAAAATTTTACCCAAAAAATCTTCACTTACCATGGTTTTGCAGCCACAAAAACAAGAGAAGATCCAAATTTGAGAATAATACTTTAAAGTTTGTTTAGTTTCCTAACAAATTCAAAAGTTATGATACATTTCTAGGCTATCCTCTGAATAACGGTCCAAAATCATCGAGGCCGAAAATATACCCTAACAGGGCCTCAGTCACATATTAATTGACCTATTCCGGCGACTACACAGTATACCGCCGAGAGTATCTCGGGGCTAAACTAGATGGCTGGGACTCTCGAGCAAATAAAATGGAAAAAGCTGCTTAAGATGCGGTAGCTGCTGCTCGTGAGTCCCAGCCATCTAGTTTAGATACTCTTGGCAGTGAGTTCAACTCGGCGGAAGCTTTTTCACGGCATGCTGTGTAGTCATGTGACTGGGGCCCTGTTAGGGTATATTTTCAGCCTATATAATTTGGGACCATTATTCAGAGGCTCCAGGTTCTCAAAGAGTGCTGAACAAAATTTTAAAGATAAAAGTGGCAGAAAATTGGACCTGTAGTCTATACACAAAATATTAACTTTATAGTTATATACAGACTATAACTCCAATGATTTGCATGCAGCTTAGCCACAGTAAAAGTAAGGTACTGTCTGAAACAGTCCTCTTGATGCAAATGTGGATGATATCACATCCTTCAGAAATGAAATGGGTCCTACTGGATTTACCTCATCAGAATGAACAGCTAACTGCTCAGCTGCCACTGGTGCTTATCATCTGCTAGAAATGCTTTCCGAAAAATTTCAATGTTTCATTTTTATAAAACATCTGAAGAGTTTCAGCAACAGAATGGTGCTGTATTCAGAAAATTGGTAACTTTCGCCACTTGAAGGCCACTTGTACCCGAAATCGGAAAATGCATCGTCTAAAAATCAGGCTAGCGATGAATCCGATCGGTCTGAGCTCACATGTGTGGAATCATAGACATGTTTACAAAGAAAAGTGTATGAGACACACGATCGATGCAGACATTGTAGTTTAAGCAAATTGAAACTTCTCAATCAACACACATAGCGTTGCTCAGAGCCTCATATGCCATCCAGAAAAGTCCTGTGTAGCTACCTCCCACATAGCTGTATTGGTGCTAAAAGAATTGAGAGCAATTTTGAGAGTGTCCTTATAGCGCTTTTTATGTCCTCTGTGTAAGTAAAAATTGCCTAAAGTCATAAATTTAATGTTATGACTGAAGTAACTGCTGTAAAGTAACAACAGTCTAAAGCCATTACCTGAAAGTAATGACTTTCTGAGACAGACAGGATGAATACTTACAGATATTAACTGTGCCTTGAACTGCTCAACTCTGTTTTTACGACTGGACATGATAGTTTTTGAGTAGTACAGGATCATGCTGAAGTAAGAAATATAGTTCATGTGACTGGAGCAGTCATATTCACCAGCATGAAGAAGATATGATGTAAAGTTAGAGAGCAGGTTACAAAGTGACAATGGATAGTTGAAAGTGATTTTATAAAGGTGTTACTAGATGGGGCTGGCCGAGTGGTTAAGAATATTGGGCTGTCATTCACTTCAAATTATTGCTAATGGGGTTGTGTTTTTTCTGTAACAAAATAGCATGGTGGGTGGGGTGAGGGTGGGGGGGGGACGGTCCTTTTTTAAATCAGTTGAATCTAAGCTTAATCTAATTGATTTTCCCCTTATTCTCTACAGTATTTTGTTAGTGTTTTTCATGCCAAACTGATTGTGTGTGTGCGTGTGTGTGTGTGCGCGCATGTGTGTGTGAGAGAGAGAGAGAGAGAGACAGACAGACAGACAGACAGAGAGAGAAGAGACATTTTAGGAATGGTTGTTTTCTAAAGATATTTACCCGGGAAATAGAAAAATGAAAAGTTCTGGAGCTTGTTTTTTTTTTCTTTCTAGGTCACCGGAGCAAAAGGGTTAAGTAGCAGACTGGTAGGTACAGATAAGCTAAAACTGGCAACTGTGCTTATGCAGGTGCCCAAACAAGACAGTAAATTAAAAATCAAAGAAACAGACATGGATCATCTCTTACTATGCAGGAGAAATGTTAAAAAAGACTGCAACTGTGGGGGAATCAGGAAACTCTGGAATTAAAACATTTAAATACAATGGAAACATACTTTACTTTCTTCAGTAAGGAATTTTAGGATTCTTCCAATAAAAACTGGACCCAGTTGCCACCAAGTTCTCAAGTCTGTTCCTTCTCATAACAAATCTAATCATTTTATGGTTTTGGGCTTGTCTAGAAGAGATTATCTTTTTTTTAACATCAGTCCTCCAAGACGAAAAGTTACCCCTCTCCTCCCGAACATCCCCCCAACCCGCACCCTTTTCTACTCAGCCCAAAAGTAGTAAATATGTACAATAAAGACAATTTTCAAATGTTCAAAGCTGTCATAATTACCATAGTAACACCAAAACTGCTGCTACAAATCCAGAAGAGGTAACAATGTTAATAATGTCTCCAAAAACAACATAATTTTTTTTCCATTTCGATATAAGTTCCTTCATAACATCATACGATGTTTCATAACTCTTGTAGGGGCCACAATCACTGCTTGATTTGATTCTGAAACCAAACACACAATTTTGCATTGAGTGGTACTGAGAACACTGTTTTCAGAAAACATAAAGAAACACATTTCAGTTTAAAATTATGATTCTTAAATGATCACAGCCAGCTAGTTATCTAGGAGCCACAGTAGAGTAGTGGCTAGACACATACCTGCTGGCTTAAAAGGTCTAAAGTTTAGTTTCAAAAAAATTTAACCTAGGCTCCTAGGTTGACCCAGTCTGAAGTGGGTCTCATGTGAAGTACTGGGAAGCAAAGGTGGAAGGCATGATACTGAAAACATCACCAATGTAAAAAGAAAAAGATAAATGTAAAATTCAAAAATGTAAAAAAGGTCACAAAGGGACCATGACACGTTACTAGTGAAAGGAATATCAGGTGCCACTTTATACTGAAAGATGCTATAAACTGTACCATACCAATGACAAATTTTGGCTGTGAAATTTGATAAATGAGTGGCATTAATTTTTGTTTTGCTACATTGCTACTAAACTGCATACCCTTTTCTAAATTGGTAAAACAACACAATCTCATGTATTGTATGTCATGAAATTTAGTCTATATTTCTGTTAAATAAGATTTTTTGGTTGCCTTTTTGTACCATATCTACAGCCACATGATGACAATGTCAAAATAAAAAAATAAATAAAAATGAAGCCTAAATTTTTCTCCTTAACTCTTTAAAGATGTATGGCCAGTATACTGTCGAAAAAATGTATCCCTAATGGATGAATCGCAAGTATATTGGCGTATGATAGAGACACTCTAATTTTGTTCTGTTTGTGGGGAAAACTTTTTTTGAACACGTTTTTGAAAAATTAGGATTAACAACAGGAAGTCTTTTTGTTTGCGAAGTTCATTGTGGTTGGTGCATTATTTTCTTATTTTGAAAAAAATTATTTAGATGGGATACAATTTTTACATAAATTTTAATACTAAATGATAAGGAAAAAAGTCTGTAACTGTTTATAGTTCTCTGTTGTTGATGAATCTCTGCCAGATCGTGACAACAGTCTTGATATTATGATTGATATTTGAGTGATAAACCTATTGGCTATTATTTAGTTTGGGATATGAAAATTGAACAAAATATTTCAATCGGATCAATGTTTCGATCAGCTGTTTTCCCAATTTTGTGCTGTTGTTAAATTTTACATGTCATACAAAAATCATCATAACATCCAAAGTTTTAAACTAATTGTTTTAAATAAAGACTAGCTGATACATAATTGAACAGAGAAGGCATGTGCATCCTTAGAATTGGATAGCAGTATTGTTGAACAAGTAAAAAAAAAAAAAAAGTAAGGTGAGCACATTTTTTACGTCAATAATGTTCATATGTGTCTAACATCCTTGAATGTGTGATTTTAATAATATATTGTTGTAATACTGACATTTAAATAGTTTAGATATATTCTGCACTTATTTATCTTTAATTTGATATGTTATATGTCCCGATACAGTCAATACATTTTTTTTTTCAGGAAGGTTTTAGCTTTGCCGTATTGCAGTAAAACAAATTTAGCTCAAAATTAATGCTGTCCAAATCCGAGAAACAATGAAAAATTTGAAATTTTTTCTCCTTTAAATTTGGCAAAAAAATACAAAACATAACAAGTATATGTCACATAGCTGGGAATCTATAGCATTTTTAGTACACACTAAAATATATGGTATATGTGAAAGTGCAAGGGTTAACGGGCTTGGTGGTCAGTGGGTTAAGTGTTTCCTTTATTTGAATAAGTGTTAACCATTACCTATAATTTTGTTCATCTCATTCTAATTCCTTATTACTTTATTTTGTTAGTTCAACAGACACAAATATTAAAAAAAATATACACAACACACATTAGCAACTTACTCAAAAATGCCAAAGAAAACTGCAATGCAGGTGAAGATAAAAAAGATGAAGATGTAGCCAACAAAGACAGTATGAGTTTGAGATGCCCGCCATGGCTTTAGTGAAGGTCGACAGTTCTGTGTAACACTATACTGTAGACAAAATATACATTGGATACATATGCCCATCTTTTACTTGTTTTAAAACATGTATATTTCCTTTAATATTAGATTTCATAAGAGTGCAGGCATGTACGCACACACTCAAGCTAGCAAACACAGGCATGCAGAAAGAGAGAGAGAGAGAGACAAACACACATGCACTCATGTACACACACGATCAAAGTCAGATCTCATTATCTTTGCTGTGTTTTATGACCAATAACCTTAGATGAAAGATGCAACTTCTTCTTCTTCCCTTATTCATTTACTGCTCTGGGTAGCAAGGAAGATATAATAAGGATCTGGTTCTTGCTTTTCTGGCTGCCTTGACTGTATACACAATATGCTATTACGTGATATCTTTTCATCAGAGGAAAGATGCTACTTATTGAATTAGGTGGAGATATATCTTAAGACATATGACTTAGCGGCTGATCTTAGGAGAGACGAAGCATACACCGTAAGAATCTTCGCCATCGAGGTAGGCGCAAGAGGTCTCATTTCCACTTCAATGTACAATGTGATTAAACAACTAGGCTTACGAGGAAATGAACGCAAACGGACACTAAAACAACTGGGTGAGGTTGCTGAGAGGGCCTCGAGCTGGCTCTGGACACAACGAAACTTCGTGGGGGACGGGCCTCGGTGAGCTGGTCCGGGTGTCTAGTGGAAAAGAATGTCTTATCCCTCAAAGTCCATCGTGTCCGAATTGTCTGCCAGTGTCCCCCTGCCACCTGCCAACAAAGTCCAACATGTGTCCGGTAAACCGAACTTTAGCTTGCCACTTGGTCGTCCAGGTAAGCTGACTGCTCTAATTATGCTACTGCAACGACTTTGTATCTCACAGTACCTTTCGCAAAGTCACCAATTCTTTTTGTCCCTGTCCGATAACATCCGGTAATACGTGCAGCAGGAGAAACCAACACTGAGCCTCATGAACTCAGGTGGGCCCACTCTCTGAAAATGTCTAGGAGCTCGTGGCCCGAAACATATGTCGACGAGAGATTACTTCTACTGATGATTGGTAGACTCCTGCTGTATATGCTCCCCTGTGGAGTTTCTTCTTAAGACATTGTTTTAGTTTGAGATAATAAAACAGCAGAGAGTATTTAATAAAAAAAAAAAACGACTACAATTAGATATGATGGATTAAAAAGACCACTACTATAAATGGAGAAGAGACCAAGAGAGCAGATGTAAAAGAGACATATAGCTGGTGAAGAAAAGACTATACATTTCGGCCAAGAGAAAAAAAATATCCCAAAAGAAAAGCATGTCATTCAAACAGGCACTATCAGCCTATGATTTGGCCAAACTGCAATGATGTATCATCAGGAGATGATAAAATAACCAATCATTTTGTTCAACTAGAGTTAACTGGTTTGTTACGTATGCAGCATGGAGCAAAGAGTGAACATTAAAGTCTGTTGTTAATTCAGAAAAAAATGCTACTGAGACAGCGGAACTGATAAGGCAAGTTTATGGGAATCAATGTTTATCTTGTGCAGCGATATTAAAACTTGTGTGGAAAATACTGAAGAGAAAACAAGGCCTGGACATCCAGTTTCTGCATATTCAACCTGAGCAAGTTTTTTTTAATGTCACTGCACAATGTGGCACAAACAAGGAAGCGATCTGTCTCTTGCCCAAATCTTCCAGTAAAGTTTTATAATTGTCTCTCTGTTAACACCAAATTAATCTACCATCACCCTCAAATCACATACTGAACTTTGTGTATCCGTTCTATGACACTGGCAATGAGATTATCAGTATGAAAAGAAACTTGACATCCTCACCTAGCTTTTCCCAATCTTTTCCTGACTAGTTTGAATGGGAACATCATCTGAATATCTTTGCAGGAGATTAACACTGACTCCCACAAACTTGTTTCACTGCCCAGGATCAAGAAGAGTATATCATCCATTTTCCTTTATTTAGTACCAGACTTTACTCTTTTAGTGTCAGAAGATCACAGCTGGTGTCATGCATTAAAAAAAAAATAACATGTAAAAGCATATCTAACACACCGAGTAGAACGAATGAAAAATATTCAGTCACCCATGTGTTGCGTAGAACTGAAAGAGTTAATCATACCAGGTCTGTTCATAATTTAAATCACAGTTGGTTGCCTTATAAAAAAAAAAAAAAAAAACCGCCAAGCTAAGCAAATCAAGTGGGAAAATCCCTCAAAGAAGTTACAATGGGTGCACCCATAAGCTACTCCATGTACTACTGGATGTCCTCCTTAGTCCTGTGGGGGAAAGACGGACCTTATTTTGTAAATAAAGACTTCAATAAAAAATACTTACTCTTTTGACATAAAAAGTGATAACAAGCTTTAAAATTACTACTACGGGAAGCAGTGGGGAATAAAAGATTCCTAGCCTGAAAAAAAAAAAAAATGAAATCTGTTATTTTGGTTCACATATTTATTTATCAAATATATCTCATCTTCTTCTTCTGACCTTAATCCTCAAACAGTGCATAGGCCCTCAACCAGCTCACACCAAGCCGTCCTTTTTTTGCTATCCAAGCAGCTCACCCATGCTCTCCACATCTTTCTAATTTCACTCTTTTTTTTCTTTTTTCTATGACCCTGTTGGTTTCATGTAAATACATTCTATTTATATTGTTATCCAGTTTTCTTAATGTGGTGTCTCATCTAGAGTTGTAAATTAACTGTTTCAAGAGCTAAAATACATCATCATTATTTGCTGCTCCATTTAGTGTCCGCAGTTATGTCTGCAATCTCACACTATCCCTTGAGTCTCACATCAAGTCTGTGTTCTTGTCCTGATCATACCAAATGACTAAGCCATCGAGGTAATTATCTTTTTGCCTTTCCCTTGCTCTTCTCACAAGATTGCAAGCTGTCACTATTGTTTTAAATATATGTCTATAACACACTCAAAACATGTTAACTGTCTGCTTTATACTCCTCTAAAAAATGTATGGTTTTAACGGCTCTTTATTAGTGTCTGTGGCTTAGGGGTTACGAATGCAGTTTGTAGTTTGGAAATACCTAGTTCGGTTCAGTTGCTAGCGCTCTGCACTGATTTCGACAATGGTATGCCGAGCTGGCTATTCAAAAATTGAAGACAAACTACTGAATGTAAAGCCTGGGGTTCGTTTGCAATGTCCTGAAAATTATATGCAATGAACACTATATTATATCTGCTTTGTGACGGACTGCCTCATCTGTTATTCTTTAGTCTCCTCAAAAACCAGGTTTCCACTGCCATTAAATGTTTTTACTGAACAGTCCCCATGTTACAACTCATTACAAAGCTTCAGCACATCAGTGGGTTACTACTTAGGAATATGATGTTATCAATCACCAGTGGAATGTTATCACTCACTGTTATTACTCACCAGTAAAATGTGAACACTCTCCACTACACTATTATTCACTAGCAAAATACAATGACTGACAAGTACGATGTTATGGTTCCCTAGTACAATCTCATCCACTCAATTTCTATGTGTGGGCTTCAGGGTCCCATGTAGTGGGGAAACCCCCCAAAAAAGGAGGGGGGTGGGGGGGGGGAACAAAATGTTCCAACCAATGTTTTAAGAGGGGGGGGGGAATATAGAAGAAGAAGGTCACTCACCAGTACAATGTTATTACTCAATAGCAGATTGTCATTACTCACCAGCACAAACTCTGTGTGTAGATCAACTCAAGTGTATGTCTAGCAATGGCAAACTCAGCTCTCTCTATGGACTTCCATTTTAATGAACAAAGCCTGAAGGATTACACATTTTATGTAATCAACTGTCTATTGTTATTGGCAGGAACAAACTTCATACACTTGGAAAGTTATACAAAATAAATGTTAATAATACGGACTTAATACATTGCACAATTTATTAACTGGCATTTTTGGCTGAAAAATACTGGGTTGCATTGTTACAGAGTTAAGTCCATGTATAGTAAAGCACCAAAAACACACACACACAAATGAATCCTTTCCGCTGAAATACACAAATACAGACACTTGGGAGAGATCAGCTGCAGACTGACTGCTATGGAGGAAGACAGTGAAAGGCAGATGGTCACAGTCTGCAAGAGGCCTAACACAGCAAGCTGTAGAGAGGAAACTTTTGACAGAAAATGAGCCTGGGTCAAACAGAGTATCAATAATTTTATGTAGGCTATGTGGCAGAGACTGTGTGGGCGCACTGTAGCCAAATAGGACTTTACAGTCATAGCACACCCTCTCTCAAAACCAGGACACAGCTCCGCTGACCCTAGGAACTGACAGTTGCCTACAAATGTCTCCAGTTAAAAACTAAAAAATTACGATTACAAGCAAGAAAAATTAGATTTAAAAAAAAATCCCAAGGCTCTGTAGACTGAAAGATTTCTTCTGATAGCTCTGTGGCAGTTGTATCAGGGCATCCTCATCAACTGGCCCAACCATCTCATTTCATTTGTTGCTCAAAAACCTTTTGTTGATGGAGCCTTATTTAGAGTTTCAGTGCTAAGAGGATCATGCCCACATGTGCAAGAAACGCGAGAAGCAATCTGGCTGGTTATTAAAACCAGCCAGCCAATCTCGAAGCTTGTATTAATGGGCCGATGGAATGGTCCAGCCATCTTTTTTTCCATTCAGCTGTCTGGCTAGATTGGCCCTGTCGTATCCAAAAGGTTAATGATTGTGTTCAATTATGAAAAAACTGACAATAAAATCAACACTAAAAATATTCCCCCTAAAAAAATGTATATTCTCTGAGGTAAAAAAAAAAAAAAAAAAAAAAGAAACAATTAGGAGAAAAGGAAACAAATCAGACAACAAATAAAATGTTAGGCTGATGAGGAAATTGTGAATAATTTAAAGACGAACACTACCTGCGAATAAACTCCATGAAGAATGAATACAGAAGTGCAAATATCATGTCCATGACAGTCAAACGATACAACTCTTGACCAACAAAAGTCTCCCAGCACTGTGAGAACAGGGAAAAAAAAATTAGTCACTCACAACGAGTACAGTTTAAAAAAACAAAAACAAATTCTCACACATATTCCCTACAACAATTATGATCAATCAGGAGCCTTCTCCACAATGAAGGGTGAGTTCAGTCGATCTCTAACACATTCTGTTTCTTATCGTGATAATACATTCTCTCAGACTGCTGTTCATCTAGCTCATTATGTTGTCCTCCCTCTTACTCTTTTGCCACGATTTTTCTCTCCAGTATAGTTTTTAAAACAGCATTATGTCCCTCAATGTAGCTGAAATGCTTCTTCCGTCTGTTTTATTTCTTCCAGCTACTCTAATATTCATTCCTAATCTCTTCAGAATCTCTGTATTTGACTGTTTTTGTCTTCATGAAAACGAAGCTGACAGATCTTGAGATTTCTTAAGAAATCCTAACAATTTTTTCTTACTCATTCACCATCAACAGGCACTGTAAGTCTTTTCTTTTCACCTTCTGTGGTCAATGTCTGTAAATATTTGCAAAGTACTTAGTATCGCTAGTCTTTATTTTCTTTCACTTTCCTTATTAACTCTTTATGGACCAGTCACCAATTTAGTGGCTTCTGAATCCATCACACTTTTTGCCACCATAATGGCTCTTCATAGAGACACTCTAATATTGTTTCATTTGCTGGGAAAACATATTTGTATAAATATGTTTTGAAAAACTAGAATTAGTGAAACGAAGTCCTTTCGTTTTTGAAGTTCAGAATGGTGTTTAGGTAACTTTCTGATTTGTTTTCAATTAATTAGATATGATAAAATTTTTTGCTTTTCTATAGACCAAATGATAAGGGAAAATTGTTCATATTACTCTGTGGTTGATGAATCTCAGCGGTACAGTGACAATAGTATTGAAATCATGATTGATAATGCACGTGTCAAACCTATTGCTGATAATATAGGTTAGGATGAATTTGAAAAAAATATTTCAAGCAGATCATCTCTGTTTCGATCAGCTGTTTTCCTGATTTGGTTGTGAAATCTGACATGTCATTCAAAAATGGTCTTAACATCCAAAGTATTTAAATTAATTGTTTCAAATAAAGACTAGCTAATACATATTTGAACTGAGAAGGCATGTGAGCTCTAAGAAATGGATAGCAGTGTTGCTGAACAAGTAAATAGTAAGGTAAGCACAACATTTTGTGTGTAACTAATCTTCATATGTGTCCAACATCTTTGAATGTTGTGATTTTAATAACATTTTGATGTAATCGTAACACTCAAATAGTTTCGATTTATTGTGCACTAATTTCTCTTTAATTTGATATATTATATGTACCTTTACAGCGAATACTTTTTCTTCCTAAAGGTTTTAGCTTTGTCATGTTACAGTAAAATAAATTCCGGTAACAATTAATACTGTCAAAACCCCAGAAAAAAAGACGTCTTGAAAGAGTTAAACAACTTTTCCATTTTATTATCAAATATCTATTTTTATTTGCAATTCTTACTTTCACTTGAGAGGAAGCCTGCTTCAGCCAGAAATACACCAAGACGGCTAGCATGCCTGCTCTCAGCAACTGCTCTCTGTGAAAAAACATACAGTTTCGTTTTACAGGGAAACTATGTACAAGTATGTTGAGGTGTATGTGTTACCAGGGACAATAACGGAAGGAAAAATTTTAATAGCAGTGCAGTTAAGAGGCTGGTGGACGATTGTTAACAATCTCAGGATCTTTGCGGGTTTAATTTTTGCAGTGAATGGTTTACTATTCTCATGGATTTCTTACAGTAGTATGAGAGTCACACCATGAAAGAGATTTAGGCTTCACTATGTAATATTCCCAAAGTAAGTAGTGGGCGCACTGTAGCCAACCTTCACTGTGCAGATGCTATATAATATTTTTGTTTAAGCTACTATGCATGTTGTAGAAGGCAAAGAAGGATGGTTGATGTGAGACTGACTGTTTCATCCTGTAGAAAACTATTGAAGAAAAATTCAATCAATCTTGAACAAGCTAATGATGGGGTTAGATGTAAGTTTAATGATAGCCTGTTTCACATGGAGATAAAAATCAGAAGAAGAAGGTAACCTTAAACAACTGGGAAATCAGTGTGAATCAGTTTGAAAAAGAAAAAAAGTCAAGTCTGCTGTTTGTTTGGTTACTTATTCAACAGATCATTGTCACTGCACATTGAACCATTCAGTCTATGAGCGCTCATATCCTCTCCTGCAGTAAATCCTGCAGCGTGAAGCGGCAAATGACACCAGTTCTGTGCTGGCTTCTTATTTGTGTTTTTTTTAGCTTGTTTGTTTGTTTGTTTATATTATTCTAAAGATGCCAATATATTTCATTTGTTTTCCCCACACTTTTACAGCTTTACCGCAGTTAAACCTACTTAGTTAGGTTAAAGTAAATTCCCAAGAAAAGCAATGGCATCCCAGTGGCACGCCTGCAAGCTTAAAGCTCTTGGGCTTGAATCCACACTGAAGTGGACTTCTTGTTTTTAATAACTGACCTTAGCTTCAAAGCTCTCCCAGTTTAAAGCTGGCATTAGGAAATGTCCTTGGAAGTAAAAGAAGTAGGTGTAATGTTGACCAAATCAAGCTCTGACTGGCCTTTGACAATGTGTCAAAAGGTGGAGAAAGACCCCTTACTTTTTAAAAGTTTGTTTTAAACATTTTGTATTTGGTTACAAGTTTTTTAACACTACACTGTGATAGATTCCGAATTTCATTTGAAAAGATTCATGTGCTTTAATTTATTTAACTGGTACTAATTCATGATTTTGCATCTGATATTACTGGCTAAACATCCCGGCAATAAATTGTGCAGTTGAAATTTACAACAGAGATATATTACAACAAAAAATAATGGAACAACCCACGAAGTCAGGCCCAAAGAGACACTGATTGGCATTTCATTCATGCGTCTTAACCTTTGAGATGTGTTAGTCTAAGCTAAAGGGGTGTCAGGTTGTTTTCTGCCATGTACATATTGGCGGACGAACAGCAAGTGTTTTACTCTGGCATTCTCGGACTTCAAGGGATGCAGTGAAATTATGTTAGTTGTCACCAATGGCAGCCGACAAGGAGAGGAGAGTTGCTTTTCTGCAGGCTTACAGCAAAATGTTAACACTTCTGAAACCAAAACACTTTAGGTGCAGTCTCTCATGGGACATAGGCTGAGCCCACTGGGGGATGGGTTTAGGGCCAGTTCTAGATATTCTGGAGTAGTTAAAGCCTGTCATGTTCTGTAATATAGAGCACATTTGATCAGCAGTCAGAGTGTCAACACAGTACAACGTGACACCCTTTAGCTTAGACTAACGCGTCTCAAAGGTTAGGACGCGTGAATGAACGGCCAATCACAGTCTCCCTGGGCACAACTTCGTGAGTTGTACCAAAATAAAAATAATTAAAAAACAAACATAAAAAAAGGGGGAGAAAACTGTTACCTTAACATATGGATATACAGCTCATATTTTGGCATTGAAAACTGCTCATAAGCTTCCAAAAATGAGAAAATCATAGGGACAATGAGTTGAATGGATGACAAAACAAATGGCATCGTTAGAGAACTGACAACGGTGGTCTGAAATAATATAAAGTGACAGGCAATAAATAATCTTTTAAACACCTATTCAATACTATATAGAAACTAATGGTGTCATAGTGGTTAGTGATTCAGGCTTATAATGGGTAGGACTGTGTTTAAATAGCATGCCCATGGGTTTAACAAACCTGGTAATGTTATTACAACTTACCCCACTGGACAAAAACATTCCCACATGTGCTCAGTCTTCTGATGCACACCCCCCCCCCCCCCCCCCCCCAACCTTCAACTCCTCTCCCCCTCCAAGGTGGCATGCAGTTGGTAATAATGTCTCTTATCTTGACCTCAAGGATGGAATAGATATGCACCACCAGACTTCACTCCAAGGTTGCATAATTATGTTTGTATCAGAGGTTCATCCAAATCCACCAGCCTAGTCCTATAGTGTTGATGATATCAGCTCTGTTGATGCTTTTTCCAGCATGCAGTGGTGCAATACTTCCCAGTTGGTCCACTCATTTATTACCATTTACTATACAGCTTGCCCAGATGTGAAGATCCAGGTGAGGGAGGTTAAGTGCGACCTCCCAATGCTATTTACCCATTCAGCGTGACCACCTATTGTGATTTTCTGAAGCCTAGTAAAATAGGCACAGGACAACTAAATGTTAACTAACTAATTATTTGGAAAGGGGGAAGAGAGGGGAGGGGGGGGGAACTGGTCAGTAGTACTGATAACTCCACCCTCTTATATCACAAACTAATATATGCAAAGATCCAATATCACACACCCCTGCAGCAGTAGCTGCAAAGAGACTATCAATACAGCTAAAGTTGCCTGACCATGTCACTCTACTATCAATTCTTTTCAGCTCAGCTGAACCAGATGTCTGTAGCTATTGCCTAGACATACTTTTCCTCTATTTCCCTAATTCTCTCTTCTTGTGTTTTTCAACAACAGATCAGCTTGTTATTTATAACAAGTAAGGTCAGGACAGTTTATTTTTTATACTTCTCACCTCCTCTTTTACTGCTCAGATATCAAGACAAATTTAAAGTTATCATCTTGCTCTTCTGGTCACCAAGACTAGACACCTGATACTATTTAGACGAGGAATAGTCAAACATACATGGCAGAATGATTAGTACATGAAAGAAATAATCAAAACAATGATTCGTATACATGAGGAATATACAATCATACAAGGTACATTGTTTAACTCTTTCAGCCTCAAAAGATCTAACGCCTGACCAAATCACCAACGATGACAACATCAACATAGGTATACTGTATCCAGAGGGTTCATATATACAGCATATTGCAGGTAATTGGTACTGATTGATTCAGTTTGACTAAACTTAAGATGTACAAATATATAAAACATACTGATTGGTGCACATGAGGAATATCCAGTACACATGGTATGTTGTTTAGGACCAAAAGAGTAAATAAAGAAAAAAAAGATGCAATGAATGACTGTACTTACTGTACTGTTGGCCAGCATGGGTTTGATTGAGAGCTCAGTGGAAACAACATATGTTGCATAGCCTGATGCACAGATCAATGCCAGGACTAAGACCCATACAAACAGCCGTATACACCATTTCTGCACAGCCTGTCTTCTTGTTGGTTTTTCTTTGACTGTGTTTAGACCAGCTAAATATTCCTGAAATCAGGGATCACAGCTGACTTTAAACTTTACACAAACAGTATACACCAGGGCTATTCAACTGGTGGCCCACAAGCCAAAGTTGCCCTACAGAGGCCTAGCAAGTGGCCTGCGGATCATTTTTATTCTGGGGCTTGGACCTCTGGGTCTATGACCATCCTCATTTTCAACATTTTAGCCCCTGAGTAAACTTAGTTGAATGGCCCTGGTATACACTGCATATACTTAACTCTGTTACCCTGAAAAGACTAGGCTTTTGAAGACATGACCTCATTAGGAGTGGTCAATATGCTTATGTAACAGCTTTAGAGTGAGTGATGTTCAACCCCATAAGGACCACACGATGAGGGATTAACACCTGGTGACACAAAGTGCCACCATTTGGATGAGAATCCCCTGGAAGCAAGTCCCAGAAACGCCATTCAAAAATTACGTTATATCTGTTCTTTCAAAGCCCACCAGGACTTATCATTCAAATGATCACCTGGGCACAAGTCCCAGAAACCATTTTCAACTGTTATTAGGAAGAGGTTGGGGGGGTCACTGTGACTTCATAATAAAATTATGATGATTTCACTTTGCTCTCAGTGGATCTGTAAACAAAACACTTCGACAAAGAGTAGGAACACAGCCAGTTCTTTGATCCATTCGTATTTGCTGATTACTTCCCTTACTATAAACCCACCTTTGCCAAAAATAATGACTCAAAATATGAAAAATCCATCTTTGCCCTAGAGCAGTGGTTTTCAACCTTCCTAATGGGGTGACCCTTTAATATGGTCCCACATGTTGTGGAAACCCCAAAGCATACCACAAGTTTTTGATGTTACTTTATAACAATAAGTTTTTGATGTTACTTTATAACAATAAGTTTTTGATATTACTTCAAAACTTCAGTGAATATGTTTTCTGATGGTCTCTGGCGACCCCTGTGAAAGGGTTGTTCGACCTACAAAATGGCCATGATCCACAAAAGGTTCATGACCCACAGGTTGAGAACCGCTGCCCTAGAGCATTTAATGATGCATCAGCTAGTAGGCTTTCCTCTCTGATTAGTGGATAAATGTTTCAACTCACTGGATTTTCATAAAAACCATTCTAGACTTATAATTTCTTTGGCTTTTTCTTATCTTCCTCCAGTTTCTTAGGGCAAAGTTTTTGAGAATTATAACAATTTGTTTCTTTTAAACAAAATTTTGAAAGAGCTAATTTTTAAAGATTTGACAGTATGAAAGGTTTCACTTAGCTCTTGAACTACCAGCCAGTCATTATTTTAACTCTTTAAATCATGAGACACTCCACCTTAAAGAAGCCATTATTTGAGTCTGGAGGAGTTGCCAATAATCTTACTTAAGTCAGTGTGAAGATACTGCCATGTCACAGAAGAATACACATTAGATTATCACTGAACAAAGTGTTAATAAAGTACATTACTACTTAACAGTGTAAACAAAGTACATTACCACTTAACAAGAGTGTTAATACATTACTACTTCCACGAGTGTAAACACATTAGATTACCACTTTACAGAGTGTTAATATAGTACATTACTACTTCCAAGAGTGTAAACACATTAGATTACCACTTAACAGTCTTAATTTAGTACATTACTACTTAACAGAGTGTAAACACGTTAGACTACAACTTAAGACTCATGTACAATCAATGAAAACCAACTGCTGACCTTAAATTCATTGAAAAGGCTACGTTGTTTCAGCTGGGCTGTCTCCTGTGACGTGATTCCATAGTCCCACCCGCAGATGACTAAACTGAAGTAATACTGGGGAAGGGACCCACTGACCTCAATGTAGTACTTGCGGTAGGACCTGAGGTAGCTGGTGGATGTGACATTGAAGTCAAGAATTAGTTGTTCTTTATTATAAGATTAATCAGGAGTCTGGTGCTTTAGTCAAATACTTGGGTGAGCACTGGATTATTCCAGTAAATCAGGAGGCGAGGAAAAGACTGGTGTTGGATAGGACACCCGCAGATAAAACATAATTACAGTATAACTAAAGAATACAAGAATGCGGTGAAAAAGATAGGGTAAGCTGTATATGACAGCATAGGATAAGATGAGTTAGCATGAGTTGATCAAGGAAAGAAAAATAGAAAAAGAAGATGAAGCAGAAAAAGAAATGTTTTATAGGACAAGATCATCGTTAAGAAAGTTTCGAATACAAACCAAAGATTGCCTACAACATAATAAACTTCATAAACAGAAAAGCAACAAACAAACATTTCATGTTAGTTGTAAATGTTTTACAAGATGTCACAAACTAACCCTAGCATTTGTTTGTGTTTGTGGTTTTACTTGACAATTTTACATTCAGTGTTTGCTATTGCTACTAGATGGTCAACGCTCACACCATTGTCTATATCAACACTAAGCAATCTGCTGTCTAATGGCTTGCATGTGAATTGAACCTGATATGTGAGAATAATGAAACTGCATTCAAAACCCACAAAAACTGAGGTAATGAACTCCACAAACATGTAGGCAACACACAAATACTCCATGACACCTACCTATACCCAAGAATGATGAGACAAAACAGGTAGTAGCCAGCGCTGGTGAGCAGGTAGGCATACTTCATTTCATACTTGTAGCCACTGGCTACTTCCACCGTCTCATTGGTGTAGAACCCATAGTACATCTCTGAATGTTCAAAATAGCCCTGCCGAGAGATAAGCAAAATGTCTTGGTTTGTGTAGCTTTTGAAAATTCATAATTTCAGACATATAAACAATCTTCTACTGTTAAAAATAAAGGAAACAGTTTTTAGATGGTGATTCCTGTTCTTAAAAGAGAAAAAGGGAAAGAAAAGAAACGCAGTTATCTAATGGAGTGTTTTTATTAGTTGATGGAAAGCCCTTGCGTCTAAAAACTACTGATGACCCAGAACTGTCAATAGGCTGAACTCTAAGGTTTTCTTCTTTTGCAATTAGAATAATTGCACTCATTAAATTACACGGATTTTAAATGTTAAAATTATGTTTCTTCACTTTTTATTTTAATGTTATTTTTAAGTAGTACAGCATGATCAGATAACTATGCATTTCATTTTTGAACAGAATACATTTATAAATAAACACTAACTCATAAGTTACTCTTCTCTTCTTTCTCCAGTTACCTCATGGGAGTGATGGGTGGAGAGGTAAGGATCTTCTGTGTGCTCCTTCTAATGCACTGTGAAGTTGACAGATGGATTTCTTAACTGTTCCAAAGATTCTACTAACCCTTCAAGCTCAATGACTTTCAGATACAGTGTGTGAACATATCCTCCTGCCACTTTATTTCATAATCTCAGATCCTGACCTAATTGCTGCTGCCACAACTACTCCCCTTTCCCCACATCCTACTGCACTTCTTCTTTTGTTGTTGTTGCATTCATCTGTTAACTCTGGTTGGTCTTGTTACATCTTAACATGTCTCTCTGCACTTATGAAGGTCTCAGTACCAGTTCTGCACACTCTACTGGTTTCTGAGCTTAAAGAGGGGAAGGACAGATCTGCAGCTCAACCCCTATGGAGATATAATTTATACTGGGTTGGGAGGAAAGTCTCTATACCAACCTCACTGGCTCAGGGCTGACCTAAATGCCAATGCATCAGAGCTATGAACATTAAAAAAAATGCCATTCAACTCAACCATATGTATCTCTTCTAAAGAGTAATCCTGATACAGAAAAAACCTCTGATAAAGCTACTACGCTTTTGAAAAAAAAAAATGTCACTTAAGAAATGTTGATATGTCAGCATTTACAGGTCTGTGTCACAACCGCAAGTGACTAGATTTAGCCTTCTCAGGGCTTAATTCAGCAGAGTGATAGGGTTAAATACCCTTTGTTAATTACTTTCATATATCTGAAAGACTTCCTGCTAAAATGCATGATTAAGCATGGCAGAATGTTAAGCTTCAAAGTTATTTTTGCTTCCAACAGCGCTTTGATAATGCAGTTTTCACATATGGACAGTAGACTATGATTTTACTGTCTGCGCTGCTGAGTTTAGTGCTTGCTGCAGCCCTGTCAGTTGTGTTTTTCTTGTGAAATGCTTTTCCTTTGTGCAGCGGCATGGTACTCAATACGGCTGACGGCTGGTGTCGGTTTACGTGTGAGCTGGGGAAATACCTAATGTAATAATTCTACGTGTGTATTACCAACATAGCCGACTTCTTGTGCTCGACTACTTCCATCAACAATTATTTACTCACCAGTTTTTTAAATGCAACAGTGAGGGATATTATTCTAATTTTCACTGGCACAGGAACGAAGCAGGTATGGGGAAATTCGAATGCAGCGAAGTTGAAACCTCAACTATAACTAAGACTATATCTGGAATTATTTAAGCAGAATTTTACAGACATTTTTCACCCACGAATAAGTAGGTATTCACATATGAATACAGAATCAGCTGAGTCAAGACCAAATTCACAGCACTTTGGACATTCCCATGTGCTCTCTACACTAAATTCAGCAGCCAGCAAAGAGGTCCATTTCTGAATATGCATTTATTCTTTTTAAGTTGCGTATCCTTTACATGGCGTTGCAAAACAAACCCCAGCATTTTTTGGCTGTTGTGGTTTTTATAGGCAAGTTTACATCGAGCAGTTTGCCATTGCTTCTGGACAGTCGGCTTCTCAATACCACTGTCCAAACCAACGCAAGGCCCGCAGCTAGGATGGAGCCCGGCACCCCTGGCATTACAAAGAGCGTTCGTTATGCCTAAGCCACAGACCATAAATATATTACAAACTCATAAAAGCAACAAAACAAAAGAGGTGCAATAAACACTCATTAATGAATTCTTACAGTTCCAGTCAAAATCTCAATCCCTGTGAAATCCTCTCTTTCATATGAAACGCTCTGACGATCTTTCCTGTAATAGCGGAACAATATGTGCGGAATAACCAGAAATGCAAATGTCAGCATAAAGATGGGGATATTGACAAGCAGCATCCACTTGAGAAAGATGAAATAAGAAACAACACTGGTTCCAAAACATCCCTCAATTGTCTTCAAGTGAGACCTCCATAAATCAAACAATCTGGTTTCCTTCACAATCTTGTGTTTGGTTTTTTGCCATTTCTGAAAGGAGAAATTTTAAAACTTTATAGAATATAAATATTAAACTGTGCACAAACTTCATTCAACAGTGTTTATCAAGGAAAAATGTGTAACTGTTATGAGCATTTTCATTTGTATAGGTCCGGTTTGTACTTTTTGAGGCAGATTAAGCATAATATTCTAGCCTCATAAATTTATAGACCAATCCAACATTCAAATTTCAACACTTTAAATACTTGGGGAGCATCTTTACATATGATGACAGAAAAGACTGAAAGACGGAAACAAGCTTACAATGTTCCCTATCAAATGACCCAATTTTGAAACTCCAACTATACGAGTCTACTTGCTTCCTCTTCTGTCAATATCTGCCTATGCCACTAGGCAACGCAGTTCATCAGATTATCGGCAGTTGAGCCAGGGCGCACTCAATTGCTTGATATGCCCTGATGTTATGCAGTCTCAAGGTAACAGTCACTCCTTCAATCCTTCTTCTCAGTCTTTCTCTGCCTTTTGGTGTTTCGATATTCAGGTTGTATGCTCTTGCTCTTTCACAGTGACATCTGGAGTAAGACAGGGGTGTGTCTTATCACCACTGCTGTTTATCACCTACGTCGACAGTATATGCAAGAATGCCAAGCTCATGAATGAAGATCTTAGTAAGATCATCGAATTACTCTTTGCAGATGACCAGGCCTTGATAGCAGATACAGCCATGAAATTGCAACAACATATACCATCCATGAATGAAGAATATAAAACAAATAATATGAGAATCAACACTGAAAAGACAGAAGTAATGTCAATAGGAAAAAAGAAGACAGATCTAAACATAGCTATAGAATACAAAGGCATTAAACAGGCATCTGAGTTTAAATATCTGGGAACTACATTTACCGAAGATGGGAAATTGGATAAAGAAATTGACATTAGATGCAGTAAAGCAAACCAAGTATTGGGACAGCTAGCACCCCTCTTACAGCATAAGACAATCCCAATCAGCACAAAGAGACATCTTATTCAAAGCATATTTATTCCAACTCTGTGCTACCAGTGCCAGACATGGTCACTCACAACAAACCATAAAAGAAAATTAGCAGCCACGGAAATGAGATATCTGAGAAGGGCTGTAGGAGTGACCATAAGAGATAAGATCAGGAATGAGATCATAAGAGAACAAGTCGGCACAGAACCAATTCTGGATTACATACAAAGACAGCAAGTGAAATGGTTTGCCCACTTAGAGAGAATGCCTTGTGACACCATACCATACAAAGCATACATGGAAAGAGAAGAAGGACGTAGAGCACGGGGTAGACCAAGAACAAGATGGAAGGATAACATCAGAGAAACTCTACAACAGCACGATGTGCCTATGGTCGAGGCAGCCAGAAGAGCTAGAAATAGAACCTTATATCTCCCTCGACACCCACAGCGGTAAAAGAGGAAGTGAAGAAGAAGAAGAAGAAGAAGAAGATGCTCTTGCTACTGGCATTGTTAGTTTCATTCTCATTAGATGGCCAAGCCATTTCACTCTTTGTTTCTCAATAAATTTGACGAAGGGTGTTGTTTCAACAGTTCTTGTGATCACATCATTTCCAACTCATCTCTTCTGGTTTTATTCACAGCCATTCTTAAACATCTCATCTCACAGGTGGTTAGTTTTCTTTCATGTTCTTTTGTCAATGTTCAAGCCTGACATTGGTAGCCTAACGGCATAAATATTGTATTTATAATTTGTCTTAATTGGGACAGCAGGGTGTTTTAAAATTGGAGCAAGTTGGTACGTGACACTGTTGGCTTGTTTGATTCTCGTTTCTCTTTCTCTATTTTACCTTTGTATGTAAAGATGCTTCCCAAGTATTTAGATTCTTAAACTTATTGCAGACTTTGATCTTTGATCTTTATGTTGATGGTTTGTTGCTCTCTACATTCTCATGACCTCTGTTTTTTTCAGTATTAATCTTCAACCAGGAAGCCTTGATCAATTTTGCTTCTGCTTTTTCTCAGCGTTCATTGGCTATACTCCAGTGGAAAATTCTGGCTTTTCATCAACTTCTGGACTTTGGTTGTGTGTGTAAATCCACTTTATAAATCTGGCTTATTCGTATGCCGACTGTTGATTCGTTGCCTCTCAGATAGATGCACACTGATGTTGAAGAAAACACCCTTAATTACTTACCTTTAACAACATGATAATTAAGGGGCATGTGAGTCTATTCCTCCCCCCCTCCCCCCTCCCCCCCCCTCCCCCCCCCGCCCCCCCCCCCCCCCCCCCCCCCCCCCCCCCCCCCCCCCACACACACACACACACACATTAAAGGGACCAAAGAATCCACAACAGAAGACCAATTATTGAAATTAATCTTCACCATAACTTAACCTCAGGACCATGATACTAACAGACAAGCATACTAACCACTGTGCCATTTATAGCTCAAATCTGTACCTGTTCCCACCATCGAATGCCTGGCTGACTGGCATAGGCCATTATGCCTCTCTACAACTGCAATCTCCAACAGCATATATCAGTTTATATGTTGACACCCCTTCATGTCATGATAAAAGGCTGTCAAGAATCTCCTTGCACTGTATACTTTAATCTCTCCTTAACAAATCTTTTCAGTGGTCATAAAATGTTCCCTCTTCTTATGACATGAACAAAATATGATGACTGTCTTCTCTTTGTGATAAATAGTCATAGAGCCCCTACCTCTTTCAAAATATCTGGGTTATTCATGACTGTAAAATAAAGGCAGTCTTCTGTAAAACGACATCTCTCAGGCATTAAGAACACGTTTGGCTTGTTTATTAATTGTCTTGGATTCTCAGCCATATGTTAAAACGTATGTACCTCTAAATTACTGTATACATACTCACCAAAGAAAACCAGTATTTAATGAGTTTGCATCTTGATATACGTGTTCTCGGCTTTTCTGACAATGTCCTCCTAAAATGAAGGATAAGGAAAATAATGTATGACAGCCTGTATAATTTACCATTCTGTGTAGGAATAAGAAGGGATGGGGGTCCTTTGAGCTTGAAGATTTAGGACCACATGACTGTGCAGGTTAGGATTTAATTTTTGCCCCAACAGCTAAAACCGCACTGAGGATTTGAGCCTGGGTCTCCCGCAACGAAGCCCAACATTCTTAACCGTTCAGGAAGCCACACCCATGTTTTATCGATATAGTTACTATTTGCCTTTGAGACAAATCTAGCTTCTTTTTATCCTTATGTAATGAAAAGAAATGTGTGACACAATATATTGTGTTCAACATGGTATACAACACAACACTGGTTTGTTGTTGCTGCCACCTGTCCATCCTTCCAGATGACAGCATGCTCTAGGGAGAGATGGGAAACACAGCTCATGGTGCAGGTGAGTGTGACTAGCAAGATCTGCTCACATTAAGAGAAGTCTTCCATAATCTGAGCATGGAACTGCAGAACAATTGCTGCTGCATGTATTTAATGTGCTTTTTCTCAGTGGCTCAGCTCTTAGCCTGTTTGCAATAATTTCCTCTTTTAGTTTTGATTTCCCCTTTACATACAACATGGTCCACAGTATTCTGATCTCAATAATCTACCTCAATATATGTATTATTCATGCCCCGCTTGCACATAAAAGATACAATGGGAAGCCACAAAACAGACCATTCTTTTCAAAAGTGGAATTGATGCAGTATTCACCAACTGTCTATTTACCGTGGCATTTTGTTAAAACACCGAAATGTTTAGTAACTGGCAGCATGTAAGAACTAAGAAAACATGGTTATGAGGTAAGAAAACTCAGAAAAACAGAAGACAGAGGCTTAATCATGAATAATTACAGGATTGAGTTGCCCTGTAGCTGAGAGGTTAGTGAAAGTATTTAATTAATAGGTATATGTTTCATGACTGCTAGTGTCCAATTTAAATGGTGGACTGTTTATTTCAATGGGAAATTTTTTTTTTTAAAGCATCCGCATGATGAAAGGGTTAATCTTTTTGATGGGGAGATTAACTTTACTGATCTAGGCTGACAGACTAAAATGGGTGGATAATAATAAATTTATTTGGGTGTGACTCTACGTGTATGTGGCTATATAAGTGTAAGCATAACAATAGAAGAAAGAGAGAGGAAGAGCTAGATGAATGAAAGACAAAATAAATCAAACAATTCAGGCTAAATTTAGTTCAATCAACAAATAAACTGGAGATAAGATTTGGAGATCATGAAAAATGTACATAACAGGTGAAATGTTACACTTGAACACATGTTGGAGGTAATTTAGAACTTCTGTTGTAGTTTGAAGTACTAATATAGTTGCATGAGAAGAGTGCAATTATTAATCTGTTGTGCCAAATCCATTTTCTTTTCAAATCTGCCTCTTTGTGTTTAACTAAATGCTTCTTTTTGAATCTATCATTTTTAAAAGTTTCTAGGCATGTTTCTAGTTCATTTGCTATTATTAGCAGGTTGGTGAAACAAATGAAAAGAAAGTAAGGAAGAAGGAGAAAGAAAATAGAGAGACATACTTAATAGTTCTCTTCTTGGACAACGTGGTTGGAATAACTCTCACTGCAGCATCTAATTCAGTGTAGAGTTGGTCAGTATCCTGGAGGTCTTGCCGAAGAGTTTCAACAATGTGATTCTCCACGTCATCTTGATTGTAGAGCCTCATGGTGCCTTGACGAGTGGAAGAACCTAAATGCTTTCTCCACAAGGCTCGGGAGGCAGCTTCGGCAACATCTTCTACAGGATCAACAATATTTTTTAAAATAGGCAGAACACATATCTAACTCAAAATCATGAGAGTGGCATGGACAGATACTGATGAGAATGATGGATAATAGTGATTAGACAGATAATAACAGACAGAGTTGATAAATATGACGATTACATGAGCAAGGCAGAAGAAGCTACTTTTGAGAAATAAAAATAATAATGATAAATGTAAGTGAAAACTTTCTAACAGTAATGGCACTGGTGCCCCACCTAGGGGAATTTCCCATATGTGCTCCGTCCTCATCTTCAGCAGCTAACGTAGAGTTCGAATACTAATAGAACCGCCCGTAATCTGGTTATATGTCTGTCTTGCCTTTCCTCTGAGTATAGTGAGCTAGCCAGACCCTCTGGTTATACCTAGGTGCCTCATTCTCTCCAGGCCATAATAATCTTGTTCCGCTTCTGACTCTGTTGCTTATTCCCAAAGGGCAGATCCAGCCAATCTGTCTGCCTGTTCATTCCCCAACACGTCGGCATGGCCTGGAGAAAAAATCTAAAGTATGCTCACTACCGTGGCCTTCCCAGTGAAGCTTTCCATTCTGCTCGAGGCATCCCTGTCTTATTTTTCTCAGCTTTCAGTTTGTTACAGTTATGACATGTGTATGCATTTTTTTTTTCCTAGCCACCAGAAAGCTGCAATAACCGCCTCCATCTCCATTCTCATGACGAATGTTGTAGTACTGTATGCTAAGCTGTCCTGCACTAAAGATTTCCCACTGGCTTTTGCTACAAATCCCCAGGCGCTTCTCTTCCCTCTCAACATCAAATCATTTGTATAGATAATCAGATAATTTGGGTGAAAACTGTCGTGAAACACCTGTTGGATTTCCACCTCCATAGCGCCCGTTGGCCACTCTTCTCCTCGCCCAATGTTCTCCAGCATGCATCTTGTCTTACTGTGACTTCTGCAGGAGCCATTAAACGTTTTCCCCTTTTCAGCCTAGGACCCTTACATGCAGCCAAAGCTTCATTCAGAGGGTGTTCTTTGTCTGCAGCTACTCTGAGGTATGACTTAGCCTGGAGCACCTTTAGCCTAACTGCAATAGTCGGCAATGCAAGGATGTATTGCATGCACACAATCGGGGCATCTAGCTGACTCTTCGAGACAGTGAGTAACCCCAATCCATAATCCATAAGTGAGATGATTAAGTGCTTGTAAAGTGTGAACACCATTATCTGCTCCATGTCCATCGCTGCCATAATCTTTAGTGCATCAAGACCTTTCTGAGCCTTTGTCACATCCAGGTTGACAATCCTGCTCGTAAACAAACTGACCTAATGCAAAAGTGGCTGCATTTGACCATGTGTCCATTCCTGGCTGGTAACTTCCCAAACTTCATGGAAGGAGATATCTCTGTTCCAAAAATGCTTGTAGCTTACCCACCACTATCTTCTACAGCACTTTACCAAAGGTGTTTTGAAAGGTTATGATCCTAAAGCCACGGAGGGTTAAATGACCTTTGCCAGGCTTAGGAAGTGCAATCAGGTATCTGCAAAACAGAATTCTCAAAGGCTACATGAAGTCTAACCTGATATATGGAAGTGAATCATTAAAAAAATAAAGTTGTCCAGTTAGTGTAAAATTATGTGGAAGTGTTGGAGATTGGTTTTACTGACTGACTGACTGACTTTCTACCCCACCAGGACATCACACAAGCGATAAACACCTGATGACACAATGTGCCACCATGTGGGTGAGGATCATTGTGGAGAGGTCCCAGAAACCGCGTTCAGCCTTTAGGCCATATTTATGGCCAGGCTATATTGGGGCAACTGGCAAAAGCCAAAGTTAGGCTTCAAATAACGAAAAATTTCATACGAAAAAGGATGGGAAGTAACACTAGAAGTAGTATGGTTTTACAGATGAATGTTCAGAACAGCCTGGACAGATAAAAAACAGTAATGAAGATCTCTTTAATAAAATGGGCTAAGGAAGAGAAGTGATTGCCCAGATCAGAAGGAGACAATCTACAATCTTTAGTCATTTAATGAGAAGTAGTAAACTAGAGTACATTGTGATGGTGGGAAGGGTGGAGGGGAAAGAGGCAATGGGCGACTTACAGAGAAGATGCGGGAAAGTTTGACATTATGGCATGGAAAAAACTTCTGTCAGTATTGAATGAAGGTACCTAAACCTAAAAAAGAATGTTGTGGATAGATATGATCACCAATGTCACAAGGTATGAAAGACCATCGGTGACAGAAATGACTGAAGATACGTGGAACAGATGGTTTTGGGTAGACATAAGGTGTCAGAACTGACTGACGTCACACAAGAAAGAAGGTTGTAGCTAGACATAACAACTAACATCTCAAGTTATGGAAGATCATTGTGAAAGAACTGATTCAAGGTACATGAGACAAAAGGCTGTGGATAGATATTAACACCAATGCCATACAGCATGGACTATAAGAAGAAATCAGCAATCAACAGGTGATATGGTCAACATCCACTACATCCCAATACACATTCACCTTATGCAAATTGTCATATGAACATACAATGCTTTAATTATAAGATACAATTGCAGTATGAAAGACGAGTGCTTGAAAGGGCCAAATGTAAGATGGGCTGTACATCCACCCTTTGAAAATGAAGTTTTTTCAAGTTGGTTCGCACATTTCTGCGTCCCTAAGGCTGATACAACCAGAAAGTCCAGGCTAATTACAAAGGTCCACAACTAGGCAAATCTGAACCCACCCAAAACCTTCAATTTAGTAGGTCAGTATCTAGCCACTAGGTGATCACAGCTAATGATGAAGGAGACAACATCAATGGTAACAAAAACCAAGCTATTATGATAAATAAGGATGATCAAAAGAGAAAGAAATAATCATTGAGTAAGGTATTCAGATCATCCTAGTATTTATCTCTGTCTTTCCCTTGCTCTTTTCCCATCATGTTTGCCAAGTGTCAAAAAAACCACTGTAAAGTCTAACTTTCCACTGTACGCAAGGTTAAAAGTGGAAGTAAAAATAAATAAAAATCACAAGAATTAAAGAAATCTGAGAGAGAGAGAGAGAGAGAGAGAGAGAGAGAGAGAGAGAGAGAGAGAGAGAGAGAGAGAGAGAGGGGGGGGAGAGAGAGAGAGAGAGAGAGAGAGAGAGAGAGAGAGAGAGAGAGAGAAAGAGGGAGAGAGAGAAATCTACAGGTTGTTTTTTTTAGTTGTTCCCTTCCAGATCTCATGGATGAGAATCAAACTGGTAAAAATCCTGGAAACCTCATTCAATAATATAACTGGGGCATCTGATGGTTATAAAGTAACATGCAGTACAATGTGGGTGGGTGTCTTGACTATGCATGGGTCATCTAAATCTATGCATGGGTAATCTGAATCTTGGACTGCCATTATCTAAATGGCCTTACACAAAAATCATATTTTCTCTTTACTCTGTACTTTCCTTGTAGAGATAATTTTGAACAATGCAAGGTAGTTATTAAGTATGCCCAAATATATATTTTCAGTGGCCTAAATGCCAAGATGGTTTATCAGTAACCCAGGAAGAACATAAATATCTTATCTGTTTACACATTTCTTGTTGGTTTTCTAGGTCACCACATGGGAAAAAAGCTTCTAGACTGTTTAACAATGGGCATAAACACATGCACACTCCTTACACTAGTGATTCTTAAGCAGTAGAGCACACCACACTTGGGGATACATAAAAGCTAAAGTCTATGTGTATGCGTGTTTAAGAGAAATTGGGGGAGAGGGGAAAGAAACACACAGAGAGAGAGAGAGAGAGAGAGAGAGAGAGAGAGAGAGAGAGAGAGAGAGAGAGAGAGAGAGTAGAGAGAGAGTAGAGAGAGAGAGAGAGTAGAGAGAGAGAGAGAGAAGAGACAGTGGATATAAAGAAAGAGAAAGAGGAAGAGAGGAAAGAGAGGGGGAGAGAATGAGGTCAGGAGAGAGGTATACAGACAGACACAGACAGACACACAGACAGACAGACAGACAGACAGACAGACAGACAGACAGACAGACAGACAGACAGACAGACAGACAGACAGCTGTACTGGTACTAGGTTTCGAATCCCCATTGTGGCGAAAGTTTTTCTCAAAACTAAGATTGCCTTCTAGGTCAACCAGCCTTAAATGGATAATGAAGTAAGTGCTAAGAACTAAAAGCAGCCAGCGTGATGCCGGTAACCTACCCCACTGAGGAGTGCAAACTGGTGTATTAAAGCATCATATGCTGCATGCACCACTGGTGTAAAAGGGTCCTCTACTTCAAAGGTTTTAGTGTGTGTGTGTGTGTGTGTGTGTAGAGGATTTAAAGATTATACAGAAGGTGTCAACCTCACATTAGTTTTTACATAAAAACCATCTGTATCACTGGTAGTGATCTCAAGCTGTGTATACTAACTAGTGTTATCAGGCAACTTACCTAACTGACGGCTGGGCAGCTGCCGAAGCAGTTCCTCCATATCGTGGTCATACTCCATCTGCTGGTGGTCAATACTGGTGCCATACTCCTGCACATACTCCAGATCATAATCTGGCTCTATCTCTATATTATGAGCCTGCACATGTTTGGAGTGGTCAGTATCACCCACTCCAATGAACAAGGGATTTTCTGAAGATATAAATAACTGACATTTGCAGTTTTGGTGGCAATGTATAAATGTGAATAAATAATAATATCACAAACATAAAATAGGAAATTGAAGATTTGTAGACAAAGTGCTATTAAAGAAGTTTTAGAACACTTTGGACTTTCTTCTTCACATTCACCGGCTGTAAATTTTGGCAGAAAGCACTAGTGTGTGTCCTCTGTAGGACTTTGGTCTTGTTCCAGGACTTGAGTGCTGCATGCCTATCCATTTTACAGGTCTGACTTTTCTGGTTCAGACGGGTGGTGCCTTTTGCTTCTTAGGCAGATGCATTCTCACCTTAAAGAAAATGTTGATCCTATCTATGCTGCAGCTGATAACCTATTTCCAGGATTACCACATTGAGGTGTAGATGGTTCTTGCCCAGAATGAGCCCTGGTCTAGGTACACTAACATTTATGGTTCAGCACTTCTGCATCCCAAACAAGTTGGACCAAAAACATCCATCCAGTGAAATATGAACATTGAAGAAAGCTGACTCATAAACAATACATCTTCTTCTGCCTTCTAGCGCCCAATGTAGCAAAGGCCCTCAACCATCCAATGTCAAATTTTTCTATTCTTTGTTATCACATGCAGCTCTCTCCATGTCCTTCCAATCTGTTTAACTTCACTCTCTAGTTCCCTTCTTTATGTGTCTTTTGGTCTTCCCTTATTTCTATGCCGCTGTGGGTTCCAGTGCAAACATATTTTAGTTATACTGCTCCCAGCTTTTCTTAATGTGTGTCTATCCAATGCCACAGTCTTTTCTTCACTTCTTGGTCTATTGGAACTAGTTTAGATAAACAATATCACGTTTCAGAAACTGAAGTGCTTTCATCATCCCCATCATAAGTCATCCTTGTAAGCATGGGCAATTATGGCTCAGTACCTACACAGTTACCAGTCTTTTATCAGTTTTTGTGAGAGTCTCAAATAAGGTGAATATTGAATGTTCAATTACAGCACTCAGGACACTCCCATAAGCACTCCATCCTTATCTGCAGCAGCAAGCGAAGAGTTCCAATTTCGATGGCCCTAGTAACTGTCTGATTGTATTAGCAGTATAACAATTCCAGTAACCCACTCTAATATGCTTTCAAAGCTCCTAGTCTTTTATTTATTTGCCTTTTTCTCTCTCCATTCCCTCATCTTCTTCTCTTTCCACACTCTCTGTTGCCACCTGAAGATGGTATCAAGCACAAAGCACGCACTCTGTAGCTCCAGCTATGTCTCAATTAAGTTATGTGGCCAAACTATTCTGTTATTTATTCCTTTGTCCTCTTCTTGCCTTTTCCCACCATGCTTCCTAGTTGTCACTACATATTTTATTTCTCTTCATGGCATGCCCATTTTGGAGCCTCCGTGGTGAAGTGGTTAAGTCAACTGTCTCGCACTCTGAAGATCATAGTCATTTCTTTTTAAACAGACTGCATCTGTCATATCATGAGTGTAATTTTTAGATCCCTGTGATCATCACTGGAGCTATGGAGTTCATGCTTAGTGCAATATTCTCAGCAGGTGTCTGGCCACTCTTTTGGAGAGCAATAAAAACATATGGGATAACACTTAGTGCAATTAAACTGATCCTCTCAAAATAAGACAGAAGAAGACATGTTCAAAAACAATGACCATCTTTGATGAATTTACAAAATAAATTTATAATTTTGTCTGCCTAATTTTGGTACAGAAAAAGACACCTAGACAATAAAGTATAAGGCATCCTACCCTGACATATGATGACGCCAATAAAAGATTCACACAGGACAATTCTGTTTAAAGGTTTCAAGTTACTCATCATGTTTTCAACCCAAAAAGAGAAAACTTAATACACTGTATTATAAAATCATTTATCATTTCCTTACACTTTTTTTTAAACCATGCAAATCCACATAAAATGTTCTGTTACTCCCTAACATGTGAAAACATTCACTGTTTTCTTAACACATAATCCTTACAGCAAATCTCTGTCTGTTGATCAGTTAGCTAATTTATTGATATAAAAATCTACAGGATACCAGGCATACCTATAGATGCTCTGTCACCTGCAGCAAATGTCTTAAGTTATAGATGCTAACTGTTTTTGTAGCACAATGATTAGACACGAGTATAATGCAGCTAGTTTTATGGATAAATGAATGAACACAAATGATGTAATTACAGTTAAGCAAACCATTTGGTCATAGATAATATTCAACACATGACAAATTTCTAAAAAATTGGAAAACTAACTCATCAATTATTCTTTAAAAGACCAAAATACTCTGAAGTTTCTTTAACTTATTAAGGTTTTAACACATTTAATACTTTTAACATCTCAGGACCCACAGTCAACATGTGGGTCTCGAGGCCTTATTTGGGGGGGGGGGGGGAGAATACACCCAATGCGGCCAACAAGTGACTAGTTTATCTGTAAAGCGGTTGTGTATGCAGAATTTAAACTCTGGGAGAAAAGTAAAGTTCAGAAGTGGATGAACAACCTAAACTATCAGTCAGAGTTTATAGCAGGTGAAGAAGAAGTAGAAGACCAACAATAACAACAACAAAGTTATTATAAAATAATAATTACCTAGACTAAAAGAGACAAGAGTGCTATGAAACTCCATATTTAACATGAGTTCTGTAGTACAGAATATTCAGCCCTATTAGCAGACTTATAATAATCAACAAACAAGAACTTGTTTATTTTAAACATTATGACAGTAAATCTTGCTTACCAGCCCTTAGTATGTGCCGCTGTCTTGGCTGTTCACTGTACTGGCTATCATCCCTTCTCATTATGACTAGAATTAATTACTAGACTAAATTATTTTTATGTGCCAATACTGTTCTACCCTATAACGATCACACTTCTAAACTAAAGAGAAGAACTGAGCTGTAATAAATATATCCAGCTTAAAGTATGAACTGGAATACAAACATTATTTTAGATAAAAGAACATGTTCCCTAAACAAATGAAAAAAAATAAGTCTCCATGACTAGTATTCCATAAACTGATAGCTTCTATCAAGTCTTTCTCTAGAATGTCCTGTCGCAACAGAAATAAATCTTTAGTAAAAAAAAAAAAAGTTATTTATAATTCAAACATAAATTAATCAATCAAGCTGAAAGTAAGCTAGCATCAAAACGCTTTGTGAATGAGCCTGACACATTTAAAAAGCAATGAAAACATTTGAAACAACTACTGTGTGCAAAATTGTGCAGTGAGAAAATGAAAAAACACAAAAAGCCAGTAATTGATGGTCTGGTTTACCGCATTCTATGAACGATAAAAACCACTACTGCAGTAGCAAACTGTCAAGTTCACTTTTCGAGGTTTTAACTATGACATATAGTATGTAATTTTTTCCAGATAAAGGTTGGCATGTTTTTCTAACTTATCTATGCAGTTTCATTTACTACACACACAGAATCTCTAATCAAAATATATCACAGTATTATTAACTTCTGAAATTTAGTGTACTTAGTATCTTATTTAGAACACAAATAACAATCCCCACATCAAGTATGCCACAGTAATCATAGGTCTGAAAGTGTGCTTGCCCCATGAATGTATTCATTAATTTGAGAACTGAACTGCAACAAATACATATTCCAGAGTCAGGTATCTGGCTGATTCAATCAGGATATCCTGGTGATATCGCTTGATAACGTAACACTGACTAATGCCTGCAATTCACGCCTGGCCACTTAACCTATTATCAATTCAGTTTTCGCAGCAGGAAGCTCACGGCCTGAATTATGAAAACATTTATGTGATCTGGATAGCAGATAAGGTGTGTTTGCATTAGAATCATGTACATTACAATGGCGGCAAAGATTTCATATAAGATCAGTCAAATGTCATTTGTACCTTTCTGCCCCAATATCATTTATTAAATAATTATTTTAATATATCTGTTGATTAAAACAAATTAATGCACATTGTTAGAATTTGAAAATTGGGGTTTTCAGTTATAAAGTGGCAGGTAACTGATAAGTACAAAAAGCCACACTATTAAATTAATTAAAAAGAAAAAAATCGAGATATCCCATTCTAGTTATAATCCAGAAGAACTAAACATGATATCGCTAATTAATTAGTACTTTTATTTGCTACTCGAGTAACCACATCAGCTAACTAGCTACTTGACTGAAAGTAAACCAGCTACAGAACGATAAAAACCGAAGTTCATTTCAAAATAATATCTTGATAAACAAACTACTAGGTTGTAAAAAAAAAGAACAAGAAGCAGACGTCAGCTTACTAACTACAATGTTCATCAACGAAGTAAACAACAAACACGGACACAGTCTACATCTTGTCAGCTCAAGTATCACAAGAAATTGACATTTATTGTTCCGTAGCCATGGCCGACATTTCACGTCTGCTAGGGTCTCCCAGTGGTGATGTCCCCTGACAGAAGTCGCAGTTATGGCTTTCTAGAGACAGATTGAGATCTGGGGTTGCAGTACATCTCAGGTGGCTGTTGGTCATTTCATGTAAATATTACTATATTTGATTGCCTGTCAAGTATGTAAATGAGTGAGAGAATTCATGTGTGATGACTGTTCTTATTAAATGGGAGAGAACTGTTATTGAGACTCGAGTTAAGACATGGTAGTGAGTGATCCAGATGTTCTGAGTCACCTGAGTCATAACTCAAGAGCCTCAAAAGGTGTGAACAGGATAATATTTCAAGTAATAATGAATACAAATGACTAGTATTAGTCTAATCACGTCACTCAACACCCACCCATAGTGAAACCGACTACAGATCACCTCATAACCGTTTTGTGCTGCCGCAGTATCACTGTGCTATATGGCTGAACGAGGTTTCCGAGATTTGTTCCTATTCTCATCCTTGGGGTGTTAATCCTATAGACTGCAATCCTGAAGGAGCATATATATATATATATATATATATATATATATATATATATATATATATATATATACATATATACATTTTGTTCCTACAAATGTACCTCAGTATCTATATTGTTCATATTCAGCTTGCACACATCTTTATATCATAGTAGAGGCCGGTCTCATCATCTTCTACTCGTCTGAAATTTACTGTAGAGAGTTTTAACATATGGATGTGAATCCTGGACAATCGGTAGGCAGGCCAAACAATTTTTAGAGGCTTCAGAGATGTGGTTTTACAGAAGAATGCTTAGAATACCTTGGACAGCCAAAAAGAGCAACCAAGAGGTTTTAAAAGAGGCGGGAGACCGAAGACAACTTATCACTGACATCAGAAGGAGACAGTCATCATTTTTCGGCCATTTTATGAGAAGAGGGAAAATAGAACATGTTGTGACCACTGGAAAGATCTGTGGAAGGAGGGATAGAGGAAGACAACGAGAGAAGATGCTTGACAGTCTTGTTGCATGGCATGGAGGTGTGTCAGCACACGAACTGATACATGCTGCAGGAGATCGCGGATTATGGAGAGGCATGATCGCCCACGCCAGTCGGCAAGGCACCTGATGATGATGATGATGATGATGATATATATATATATATATATATATATATATATATATATATATATATATATATATATATATATATATATATATATATATATATATACACACATACACACACACAAAAATATCCTATTCAACCCTAATTTGCTATTTAATAAATCCTTATAATTATTTCTTTCAGACAGTTTGTATAGTTATATATATATATATATATATATATATATATATATATATATATATATATATATATATATATATATATATATATATATATATATATATATATATATATATATATATATATATAGAGCATTTAGAGCATGGAATTTCTGGACCATTGTTGACATCATATGTATTTATTGTGTCTCTTCCCAGAGGCTCAAACTCTAATCCTTTTGCAGTAATTTCTTCCTTTATTCTCATTCGCTTCCTGATTTTCTTCCAGTAAGTGTCATTTTGTTCCTACAAATGTACCTCAGTATCTATATTGTTCATATTCAGCTTGCACACATCTTTATATCATAGTAGAGGCCGGTCTCATCATCTTCTACTCGTCTGAAATTTACTGTAGAGAATGTCATTAGGGACTCTACCATCCTCCATTCTATAGGTGTGACCCAGCCACCTGAGCATTCAGAAACTGCTCATTAAGAAAACGGTTGTAATACTTGCTCTTCACCCCCTACCTTTGTGTTTGTGATCTTGACTTGATAACTAATGCCAAGAATTATTCTTTAGCAATAAATGTAAAAGCTATTTCACCATTTCTCAGGGTGTGAATAAGTTGACTTCTCTTCCATAAAAAAGGAGTGATGAGAACACAAGGCTGATAAACAAGAGTTTTTGTTTAATCATGAGCTTTTTGTTCTCCCAAACTCTTTTTGTTAATCTGCTAATTGTTGTTCTGCTTTTCTTATCCTGATGTTGATTTTTGGGGCCAGTGGTAGTATATTTTTAACTGTGTATCCCAGATGGGTAAAATGGTCAGCTGTCTCCAGCTCTTCCCCATGAGTGTAGACTGAGGTCTATCGTTTACACATTGCACAATAACTTTTGTCATCTTTTTGCTGATTGTTAGTCCAATTCACAACATGCATGAGCAAATGCAGACAGTAAACATTGCAGCTTCTTCTCTGAGTGGGTGGTAATTGAAGTATCATCTGCAAACAGCAGCTCTCTGATGAGTACCTTCCTTAACCTGTTGCCTTGAGCATTGCAGATGCTGCAATCAGAATGAGAATGGATAGGTATACCACCTTCCTGATCTTGAAAGACATATTTCAAAAGAAATGAGAAGTATATTTCAAAGAAGGTTGGAGCAAGTACACTTCCCTGTTTCACTGCATTGTTGGTAACAAACTCCTCTGATGTTACACTGTCAAAGTTTATTGTACCTTTAATACACAAATTGCACATAATAGAGTGGAATGGATTAATCAGCTGTTAACTGTCTGTAACCTAATAACATGAAGTGGTCAAAGTGAGCAAGCCGTTTGCCTCATGTTTTGAGGGTTTGTTTCATGTCTACATTCATGAATGCACTTTTTACAGAGACCACTGGGGATCATCACTGGAGCTATGGTGTTTATGCTTTGTGCGACACTCTTGGCAGGCAGATAACTATTCTGCAGAGAGAGACTAAGCCATTTGGGATTAAACCTGGTGCAATCAACTTGATCCTTTCAACTTTACCTTTAACACACCTGGGGTACTTTAAACCAGAAAAACTCCTAATAGAAATAGTTCATTACAGCTGGTACTGATAGAGTTATGTCTGAAGTGTTTAAGTTTTCTGAGAAGCTATACTTTCTCTTTGCATTGTACTGAGTCCTCACTTTGTAAGCTTATAGTGTATATGGATATGAAGTTGTCCCCCCCCCCCTTTCCCCCTTTCTGTCAGAAAGTATAATTTGTCCTTGCCTGTGGTAATTGTTTTGTAAGATCATTCTTCACCACCACCTCCCCTTTCCCAGGCTGTTTGTAATATTTTCTGTGTTTTTTGCTATGGCTTTCTTTTGGTGTTGGCGTCTGTGGCTTAGGCATTGCGAACGAGCTTCGTAATGCCTGGGTGCCATGTTCGATCCCAGCTGTGTGCCTTGCACCTTTCGATTGGTTTCGACAGTGGTATTGAGAAGCCGACCATTCAGAAAGCAATGGCAAACTACTAGAGATTATTTTGCCTAAAAAAACCACAACAGCCAAATAATGCTGGGGTTGGTTCTGCAATGTTGTGTAAAGGATACACGACTAATTTTTTTTTTGCTGGTACTAGATATAACACAGTTTGTAAAAGAAATTTGTGTGTCTTTTTTGTGTGTTTACCAACTGTAAAGGCCAATAAAAAGTCTTGGTTTTTTTCATCAACATCTGGACTTTGGTCGTGTTCAAGGAATTGAGTCCTGCGTGCACATCTGTTTTACAAATGGCTTTTGTTTGTGCAGACTGTTTAGCATAACTGTGATTAATATTTGCTTCTTTCAATCAACACATCAAACTCCTTCAGCCACATGTTGCCCAGGTTAGCCTTCCCAGAATGTATAGAAAAGAGGTATCCTGCTTTGAAGAGAACAGACCCACTAATCAGTAGGTTTATCAACTTGAAAAAAACCTAGTGGTGGATCTTTATGATCAGCTCTCATGAACATTACAATGAATAGAAAATGTGATCATAATTATTTCCACCATAGCATGTTTTTATAATCCAGTAGTTGTATTAAGAACTGCCAAAGTCAACAATTGTTAGACAAAGAAGATTGCAGTATACTGGGCACATCCTGAGGATGTATTATCTTTCCTTTGAAATTAACAAAAGTGAGCTGAGAGAGGGCATAAGCAGTATGGGCAACATATGGTCTCTATCATCCAGGCTTTGTGCTGTTAGGAAGAACTTCACCTCTAGTCTTAATTGATTCCCTATGGGCTGTAATTTGGATGCAAGCCTCCCTTTAGTACAATAGAGCACCCTGGAAAGGTGGAAAGTTGCCAGGTAACCTGAGGAGGGGCAGCAAAGATATTTGTAAACATATTCACTAACCTCTGCACCACAGAGCCACACAATGGCATGTATAAAGTAGTGACACTGGGACTTTGAAACTTGTTATTAGTACGGAACTACACATCATCTTTATCCTTGCAATATAGGGAATTCATACAGGAGATCATTTTGCCACTCTAGGTAGCAATGTTGAAAGTCTTGTACTGAAAGTGCATTCTGTTGGGTGTGTAAATGTCTTTTTGATATTGTCCACAGTTCAAAAATGAATACCTTTTAACAGCAGTTTGAGCTTGGGGGAAAAGGTGCAAACCAGGTGAGTATTGATGCAGCACCAGTGGCACAATATTTTTTGGTATATTTGTGGCTTTATTGTCAGCTAGTTGTGTATTCTTTAGAGCAGTGGTTTTCAGCTTAGGTGGGCAAAGCTTTCCTCCTGAGGGAACACACACAAGTTTCAAAAGGGCATCCAGCAATTTTGAAATTTTCTATATTGTAAAACTATCTCATATTATTTTTTGTTTCATTTTAATTTGAAATAAAATATTTCAGCACAATTTATAAACTATTTATATATTGTTATATTGATATCTTTTTATCTTGAGTTAAATGGTGCACCCATGAAATTAACCCACATCTTCAAAGCCTGACTCAGACAGCTTGATTACTTTGCCATAGAGACGCCACAGACACCCAGGGCGCAGAGGAAAGGCAAAACAAATAAAAAATCAGACCATAACTGGCAGTAAAAGTATTACAGCTCTTCCCTTACTTCTGAAGATATGTATAGATCATGTATATGAATGCTTTGAGTGCTGTAATGTTGGTTCTTAACTACTAATCTAAATTTCACACCCATTAATACATCCATAAATATTTCCTCTGCAGAAGAAAATGGACACAAAGAAGAACATTCACCATCGTTATCTGTGTGGTGGATTGTCTACCCTGAAAGCTTCTTCAGAGCACACAGACACTGTTCTGGTTGTAGGAGACACCAGTTTCCCATGTCACCGAACAATCCTTGCCGCCATGTCCACATATTTCCGTGCAATGTTCAGCTCTGGCATGCGCGAGAGTCATGACAAAACTGTCACTCTGAAAGGCATTTCTCCAACTCATTTTGAACGGGTTCTGGATTTTTTCTACACTGGGGACATAGAGATTACATATGAATCAGTCATTGATATCTTACAAATATCATCCATGTATCAGATACAGGCCTTGCAGCTTATATGTGAAAAATACTTAGCGGGTGACCTCTGTTCCCAAAATTGTATCCTCAACTGGAAGCTGTCATTGACTTATAACTGTATGCTTCTTGAAGAGAGATCTTTTTGGAGTATGACTGAGAATTTCCCAGAGCTGAAAGGTTCACAAGAGTTTCTTGAATTGACTAAAGACGAGCTTATAAAATACATCGATGCTGAATGTTTGAATGTTGGTAAAGAGGAGCAGGTATTAGAAGCTGTTAAGTTATGGCTAGATCATGACCTGGACAGAGGGAAAAAACACATTTTGGAGATTTTAAAATACTTTCGTTTTCCTCTGATGGATTCCAGACTTGTCAATAGCATCATCCAGCATTGCCAGTGTATACAGTCAAGTAAGTCTAGTCTTGAGTATATCCAGAAAGCTCTAAAGGCAAATCAGAATTTCCCAAACCCAGATATAGAATTAAGTCCACATATATTTAAACCACGCAAAGAGCATGCCTTGGTTATGGTAGACGGCCGCAGGCAGGAAGTGTGTTGTTTCACTCTCCACTCTAGAAAACTGTATTTTCTGGCCAAATTTCCATATTTTTCTAATGCCAAAGCTGCCTGTGTTCACAGTGGGGATTTATATGTGTCAGGAGGTTCCGATCAGCCCAATAGAATGGTAAGATTCATTACAGATCAGAACAGATGGGACACCTGTCCAGACCTGATAGAGACTCGATATTTCCACTCTATGGTATCCGTTGGTGATTCCATCTATATTCTTGGTGGCTTTAGTAAAAGTAAATCTACAAATCCATCTGCGGTTGAAAGATATGACCCGTCAACTGCTGTCATCTCCCTTGTAGGAGAGATAGCTTATGCCTCAGGAAAGATGTCAGCAACTGCTGTTGGCGATGTGATCTACATGTTTGGGGGTAGTGAAGACCGCTACGACTACCTTGACAATGAATTGCTCTACAAATCAACTACTTTTCACAGTTACAACACAAAAACCAACACGGCTTGCATTCTGGGTTGTTCGCCGTCAATTACCATGGGCAGCCAAGCATTAACAGTTGATGACACTGTATACATTTTTAGTCCTAACGGCAACATCCTGACCCTGTCAGATGAAAAAACACCTGTCATTGTTCATGTCCTAAAATCATTCGACCATCGCCACTTTCGGGTCGTTCATCACCATGGATATTTCTTCCTACTTCAGCTGGCCGCTCCAAAGTTCCACGACGAAGCCCTTGTGCTATCTTGGAACCCTCAGACTAAAGAGGAATATGTACTGCTGTGGGACAAACTGCCGAGGACACTCCTAGACTCTCACTGGATGAAGGTTACCATCAGCAAGCAGCATCTATGTTACGAATGTACTAGACGATAGATATAGTGAAATTTCCTGAACAATTTGTTCTCCACTTCCTGTTGTTTGTACATCTTTGTTGTATTTATGCTGTGACTCTTGCTTAAATAAATTTATGCTGACAGCCAAACAGTGCCAATTTTGAAGGAAAGTGTCTTCAAGTCGCCCATTGTAATATGTTTTGCTGTTCTGTAATTAAATTTTTACTGCAGCTTTAAATATAAAATATCATTACTGCATGTTTGTATTGCTAATATTATCTTTATGTTTAGCATTCATTTTCATTTAGAATTGTGCATAATTCTTTGTAGATGGTGTTAGGCATATGATGTTGTGAAAATTTAATTTGGGTGCTAAAGTGGCAGAAACATAATACTCTTTACTTTTCCTCCTTGTACGCACAGAATCATATGGGCTCCATTGCATTTTGTTGTCAGTTGTTACTGTTTCATTATAATTTCTCAGGTATTAGATTTATTCTCACGAATCATGCTGGGTAGCCTCTTGCCATAGTAGCTAAATACTAAAATAAATATTCAGCATTATGTGTTTACATCCTCCACTGTAACTCAGTATGTTATTTGTAACTGCAACATTGAGGTGACTTCTGGCTACTTCTGATATTGTGCTAATATTATCTTCATCATCAAGTTAATCTGAAAGGGGATGTTGAAGTCATCTCCTCATGCCATTCCACTATCCCCTGTTCACAGCAATATTCTTTAGGTCTGTGTCCCTCAGGACTTCTGTTGTTGAACACTCTGGCCCTGAGATTAGTAAACTTGGCATTACTAATCCTCAAGAAGCCACTTAACCGGCATTCCTGCATTGACAATTTCCAGAGAAGCCTAAATTTAGATTCCATATAATTCAACAACCTTGAATACAACGAATCATCTGACTGATTTTACATTGGCCTCTTATTGTATGACCATGAATAAGTGGACAGTAAATAACACCCACATACAGTATTTAATGTACATACTTGCATACAGCAGAATAAGAGTATAATCATCATCATAGTCCCATTACACTGCATGTCATAGACCACTAGTTGCTATCATCTGTCCATTCACCTCTGTTGGTCAAAAACAAGGGACTCTATTGTATGTTTTTATTCTCTTTAGATGCCACAGTGTAAATAAGACACTAACATACACTGCACACAAGGAGTAAATTTAAAAAAAAAAAAAAAGAAAACCTCACACATAAAAAGGGCAACCTTGCAGAGTCTGCTGTCAAGATTTTGTTCTATTGTCTGTTTTCTATGTGGAGTCCTATGTTTTAGAGTCATACAGGGCTGCAGGCCTGATATGCATGGTATTTCTAATCTATTTTTGATTGTAACTGTTACTTGATGTTAGAAGTATCTCTTTCTCATGAAAATGTCACTTTATTATGAAAGTTTTACTGTCTCCTGGGAATGTCACTTACTCCCAGTAACGTCTCTTTGTCTTAGAAATATTACTTTCTCCTAGAGGTGTCATTCTCCAGGAAATGTCACTTTCTCAATGAAATGTGATTATTTTTGCTGCCTACAATATTGTATCATATAATGACACTATCAAAAAGGTTGTGTTTGTTTTAAATGAAAGAACATTTGTTTACCTCAGGACGTACATTTGGAAGGCTGTGGTATATTAACTCACCCACCGTCAATGTTACACCAAGTTTCATTAGTAAAGTAACAAATGCAAGAAATTATGAGGGCACTACTTCCAGTGACACTAAATAAACGCAGCATTATATTACACTAGTAAAGCCAGGCTTTTCATAGTTTGCTATGGCAAAATTTAGTATGTGCAAAAGGATTGCATGATGCTTGGGATTTATGCGAAAGATCCAGTTACACGCCATGCTTGTTAGACTTTGAGGCCGTAATATAATTTTTAGTAAACTGTTATGTAAGCCATCAGTAAGATTGAAACTAGAAAGCTGGATCTGCTTTGATTTTACCTCCTGTTTAAGAAAATGCAGTCCTAATTCTGTATATTTCATTCTATTTCTGCCCATTTTATCAGTTGTTAAAGTCAGAACGCCATATGTCAGTCACTGACATGGATATAACATTTTGCTAAATCTGGTTTAAAATCTTCCTAAGTTTCCACTTCATTCTGTTCCAGCCCACCTCTTTTGTGTTCTGAAATTGGGGTCACACATTATTGGTATGCAGTTCTTTTTTCTGTCAAACTCTGACACACCTGAGAAGAAGGCATACTATCTCATTAATCCATTTTTTTAAATCTTCGAGTTTCAACCCTAAACAATTCAGTAATTCTGATATTCCCAGAAAAGGCTAAAACCTAATCTAGAAAGGACTTTACTGACATCACTTAAAACTCTACTGAATTGTGCTTCCACTGTGCCTTGCTTATCTATGTTCTAGCCTGGATAAGTAACAATGTGGTGGTAGTCTAGCAGTTTTATTTGTTTAAAGTCTCAGTTTACCATTGCAACCGGTGATGGTCATTCTTGGGTCTTCCTGTGTAAATAAAATGTTATTCAAACAACACAATGAGCACCATAATTAAACTCAAAACACTGCCTTCTAAGAATTCTTTATGTGTGTGAGAGAAACGAGAAAAGAAAGACAACTTGCTCCATACATCATCATGCAGCAGGTCCTTTGCAGAACGTCGCTCTCTTCATGGTCTGCCTAAAAGAAACTTGGTCTCTCGCCAGCTCACCCGTCTCATGTACTTTCATACTCAAGAAGACACTTATATCCTGTGCCCATCTTTGTGTTGGTCGGCCCCAGCCCCTCCTTTCTGGTACCTCCTTTCTGGTACCATACCTTCTGCTATTATTTTTACTTATCTGTTGTGGCGCTTGATATGACCAAAATATTTCAGCTTCCGAGACAGGATGCTGTTTATTAGTCGATCATGTTCTTTAATAATATTTTACCCCAGATGACGTCGCAGGACAGTCCAAAATTTTAGAGGGTGGTAAGACTGGGTTTCCTGTCTTTCTGATGCTTTTAACGACCCCAAAACATCTAGAACTGGCCCTAACCCCAACCCACCTACGTTCCACGAGAGAGTCTAGGTCCCACGAATCCATCACCTAGGTCTCACGACTGCATGCACCCCCTGAAATATTAGATTGTCCCGTGACCTGTGCATTTTTCCCGTTTGTGGTAGTATATTAAAGCACCGCCAATCTTCTTTGATGTTCCGATCTTTCAAGATGTCAGTATTTCTCCTATTCTTTTTCCAAGATATTCTGAGAACCTTTCTATAGCGTTTCAGCTCAAAAGCCCCTATTATCTTTATTAAGGACTGGGAGATAGTCCACAACTCAAATCTGTATGTTGCTACAGGGAAGGTGTATGCTCTCGAAATTCTAATTTTGATCTCCTTGCTGGTGCTTAACCATAGACTTTTAATGCTGTTTAATCTTTGCATTGCTATGGCTATCATCCTTTTAATTTCTGTCAAACAGCCATACAGTATTAGAAAAACAAAGTATTTTATATTAATTATTGTTCAGCAAAGTTCTGTAAGTATCACACAGTTTTTATTTTTCTCTTTATGCATGCACTTCTTTATTATTTCAGTATCAAATGTTTATGGAAAACATTTCTTCACTGAGTTGGGTCGAGAATTGACATCACAGCATTCCATACATGCTCTGTCCTCATCTTCAGTAGCCAGCGCAGAGTTCCAATATTGATGGTACCGGTCACAATCTGGTTTAAAGTCCGTCTTGCGTTTCCTCTGAGTGTAGTGAGCCGGCCAGACCCTCTGGTTACACCCAGGTGCCTCGTTCTCTCCAGGCCATAATAATCTTCTTTCTTTACTGATTCCGTTGCTTGTTCCCAAAGGGCCTTGACCACATCTGCCTTGTCATGTATCAATTCACCACCAAATGGTGCGGATCCAGCCAATCTGTCTGCCTGTTCATTACCCACCAAGCCGGCATGACCTGGAGAAAAGATCCAAAGTATGCTCACCACCCGTGAAGCTAGCCACTCTGGTCGAAGCATCCCTGTCTTCACCTTTTTCAGCAAGCTTTCAGAGTCTCTTACAATTACGACATGTGTATGCATCTTGTTCTCTTTCTCTAGCCACCGGAAAGCTGCAGTTACCGCCTTCACCTCCATTCTCATGCTAGACTTTCACACCGGTCTTGTAAATGTAATCAGTCCTGTGTGAGAAAGCATGTTTGTTAGTATGGTGTTTTTGTTTTTAATTCTTGTTTTTTGTGTGAAGCTGGAAGGAGCTGTCCTGCTTGGTTCCCGGGTGTCAAATGTTACAAGTTATTTCATGCTGGCATGGACACCACATAGACAGCGAGGAACAGGCAGGCCCAGAGGATCTTGGAAACGAACTTTTGAGGCTGAACAAAAGGCTACATGAGGGACAAAACTGGAGATAGAGAGAATGGCTTAAGTCGAACTGAGTGGCGACAGTTTGCCTCTGCGTCGTTTGCATCTGGGCACAATGAGGATTGATTGATTGGAAGGAGCTCTACTGCTTGGTTCCAGAGTGTAGAACAGTGTAATTTCAGCTTGATGTAGATCAGATTACTTCTCATTGAGGATATAGATCAGATTACCTCTCATTGATTCAGTTAAAATGCATTATGTAAAGTTCAGCTTTTTCACTGATCCGGTGCTAGTTTCAAATGTTGGGGGGCTTTATCTTTAGTTGTCAATTCAGACAAGACCGTCTGGTGGAACGGCACCAAACATCTTCATCACATTTCATACTTCCCAGGTTCTTTCAAGCAATGCCATAATTCACAGAGGTGATAAGATGATTGTTGTTTGTCTGTTGTATTACAACATAACAACCAGGGATTTAAAAAAAAGGGAGGTAATGTTAACACTTTATTACTAAAAAAAAACATTGCTTCTTTTTCTCTTTCTGCATTGATCCACCAATAAATGTGCTGTGCCTGTTCACAATGTGGCTGCAATTTTTGCACCTTCCCGACTCCTACAGAAATTTGTTGTCTGGGTTAGCCTTTCCAGGAAGTGTTGGTTGTTTCATTACGTATGAACAGTGATGATCAGC